ACGTTGACTGGGTAATTTGTTAGCCGGGCCAGGAGGCCCGGGCCCAGGAACCCAGCCCCGAACCTAGTCCGACACCGAGTTTTATTTTATTTTATATAGTTTTTGGCATTTTCATGTGCCTTTTCGCCTTTTTTTTTGGGCGTGTGGGAGGAAAGCCCCTGCGTGAGTTGGTACAGTTCTCGCCATATATATATGTACGTACATATAGCGCGAATACCGAATGCCGAGCATAAAAACTTATTTACCTAGGGACACCCGGGAACAGAGCCGGATTCCGATTCCGGGGCGATTCAGTGGCGTCAGGCGCCCGGGGTGTCAACCAATTTCGAGTGTTTTCCCCGGGTCCTGGCCCAAAAACAACAAAAACAGCACCGAAAAAAGAAGGAAATCTCTCAACGCTCCTGGCCAAACACACACCGTGTTGCCAATTGTTGTTTCTGCGTGTTCTCGGGCATACACTCTCCATACATATATTTTCACATTGCCATTTTCATTTCAATTCATTTCATTTATTTATGCAATATTTTATGTGCTCATTCATTTTTTGCCCGTTTTGGTTGTCGTCGGTGCCCGTTTGTTCTATTAATTTGTTGTCGCTCCATTCAGAGCCCCCATACCATTATCATAGCATAGCACACCATGGCATACCGTCCTTCCTGGTCGGTTCCACTTTGGCCCGGTTATTTGCCATCCGCCACGGTTCGGTTCCATTGTCAATTTCGTGGATACACGTCGTCTATATGTATCTAGTATTGTGTGCGCATAAAATTCGTGCCATAAACCCCATTCGTCTTAATTTGTATGCCTTGTTTTGTTACGGTTACGGTTAGGTTCTGTGTTTTGTGTTTTGTTGATACTTATTTATTATTTTTATGCCCGGCTCACTTATCTTTGCGTGTCTGGCCTCCTCCTTGGGCCCCTTGCCGAATAATTTGGGGAGTGTAGAGAGCTGCAAACCATAAACTAAGCCCCCTGCATTAAAGCCAAATTCGACAGGACTGCAATCCATAAAATTTCGTAGCCACATCAAGTAATCATCATCAGCAGAAGCGGTTCCAGAATCGGAATCAGAACTAGAACCTGAATCTGATTTAGATACAACAAACCCCACGTAAACGACAGTTGTAGAAATGTGAATATGAACAATGACAATAACACACAACGCTGTAAATAAAGGTCCAAATTCCATATATTCTCTTGTACAGATATTTAATTGTGTTTGTTTGTTGGTACATACATACTTACATACATATTTACTACTGATTGATTTGATTTTGAGTTTACTTTTGAGATACTGTTCGTTGTCACCAATTGAGACGCTTTGATTTTGTTTTTTGACTATTATATATAACTCTTTGTATTTGTACATGATTATGATTATTAATGTTTATATTAATCCACTGCTAACAAAAAATCATCATCAACTTTGTACAGTAAAACCATGAGCGAGCGAAACTAAAACCTAAACTAAAACTAAAACCAAAAAAAAGAATATAAGATACACCCAAATCTGAAGCTTCGGCTTGAGACGAAGCTGAAAGTAGGATTTCCAAGATTGGTAGCGGTGCATGAAGAGATGTACATAAACACACTTGTAATATATTCCCCGTACCTCTAAGTTCACCATTGTTTCCTCACTTAAATCTTCAAATTTGATTGTGATCCGAGCGAACGGTTTGTAAAACTCCTTATTATGGTTAATAATCTTTTCGATATACATAATTCTTTGCCTTGTTTTTCCTAATCAGATCGAGTCTGCCAAGCTCTTGGAAATCGTACAACCCCAACGCCCATTCCACTTCAAAAAGAATGCCTTTCAAATTTCGTTTAACGGTTTGTTAAGTTCCTTCAGTTGTCCGATCCCCAAAAAAATGCACCCACCGCACCCGAACTCCCCACCACAATCCCCCACAACTCCCGCTTTTGATTTCTGTTCTCGCTTTAATAAGAAATAAAGGATTAAAGAGGAAAATTCATTTGTTTCCATAGAGCCTACGAAAGCGAATTCGAGACACATCTGTATAGAAAGCCATGCGCTCATTACTTTTACCCACTCTCTGTCATACTTTGTTTTCTAATTCAATTTCGTGGATGTCAAAAACAAGAAAGGATTTCAGCTAAATTTTGTGCTCCTTTGCACATGTCTAAGAGAAAAAAGAAATGAAACGATAAAGAAAACGAACCACAACCAAAAATGAAAGAAATGTGATATATATTTAGCCACGAATATATATCGAGTACATCTTGTATATGATGATGAAATGTTGGGATGGGCTGCCCGGTGACCGCTAGTATAATTGTCTCATTTATCAATTACTTATTGTACTTTCTTCTTACTACATTCTACCTAACCTAACAACCTACTACTACTTTACCCTACTACTACTATTCGTACTACTATTTGCTCTATGGGTTCACCATTCTGTGTTGTTCTTCCTTTTCTGTGTGTCCGTGTTCGTGTCCCTTTGATTTCGATTCCTCCTCGTTTTCTTTTTGGATTTTCTATTTTTCGGTTTCCTCAGTTGCTTTGTTGTTGTTTAATTAGTTCTATTCAGTTTTCGGTTCTCCCTACGTTCTGTACATACATGTGTGTAATTTAATTAATGTAATTTTAACATGAAACTCAACAATTTCTGCTCTCGGTTACTCATAAGTTACGATTGTGTCGTTTGTTCGTTCGTTCGTTCGTTGTTGGTTGGTTCAATCCTTTGTTCCTCCTTCTTTCTAGCTGTGTGTGTCTCTCATTTATCATTGTTGTTCGTTGTGCGTGTGCGTTAGAATGTTTTTGGGCCACAACTATACCACTGTAATTTGGCCCGGCTATCTAATATAACTCTGCGCTTAACGGTCAGTCCGACCGCAAAACCAAAAAATAAGAAAAAAAAAACTAGAAAAAACTAAAAAATCGTAAAGAGAATACCGAAAACCAACTGCAAAAGTATTATCATTTATTTACCATTTTTTCCTTACGTTGTTCCATGTCTGTGATGTCGTTTTTTGCCTTGTCATGATATACTCCCATATATATGCTACAAACGCTTCTCCGTAGTATTTGACCATTACACGCAAACACACTCATATCACCCGACTAAAAAACAAATATGAAAACATCCCACACACACCACACTCGACACCCATACATCCACCAGACACTGCCACGCCCACCCCACACCTTCTTTTGTGCCTTGTATAACTCATAAAGTGTAGTTGCTACTTAATTACAATCATTACTCAAAAACGCCACAAGGCCGGTCCCGAAACCCCGAAAACCCCGAAAACCCCGAAAACCCTGAAAACCCGAAACCCAACACCCCAATGCACTCGATTACGCCCGTGTGTATCCCGCATATCCTGGCTTTATACACCACACAACATAATTGGTATTTTTTTCCATTTCCATCGTTTCTTACCTCTTTTTGCGACTCTGCGTGTGCCTGTTTTTAAGTTCCTTGCCGTAGCCTGTGTATTGCTAACGAAAACAAACTGAATACAATTCAATTTGTTGACAGAAAAGTTAAACAAAAACCAAATACGAAACCGTTTGTTGTGTGCCTTTTTAGCTGTAAACATTTTGTACTGTTGAGAACAATGCCTGAATGTGTTTTATGTATATATTATGCCCATATCTGTATCTGTTGGTGTATACTTATACGAAACGGATTTTAGTTACCATTAACTTTTACACCAAACTCTACAACTCTTACCAGTAAAAAAGAAAACGAAAAAAGAGAGGACCCTTTACCAAAAGAACCTATATGAACATTCATATATGTCACATATATATCTCTCGCGTTTGCCATACAGAACCAGAAACCACCGATTACCCAATTTATTCATCATGAGTAAATGTTTGTTATTATTTTTTAGTTGATTCAAATGTTATGCTTGCTCTAGCAACAGATACCTTATATACGGCCCTACCAGGCACTAACATTATTTTACCACCTAACCGCCTCTGTTACTCCCCCCGTATACCGTATTCCCATTTTCCATTTCCCCGAAAGAACCCCCATACCATCTCCAATCCCAACTCCGAATCCCAATCCCGTGCTTTTGGCTTCAGAGCCGGAAGAACAAGATGAACCAAGTGTGTGTTTTTGCTTTTCGGTTATTTTTTGAACGTGTCGTGCCTTTCAGTTGAGTTTACAATACAGAAGTTGGGCAGTGCATTTCCACAGCCCAAGGAAGCGCCGCCGAAAATGAAAAACTCTTGTCTTTAAGTTATTTCTGTGAACGTCATAAGTCTTTGGTTTGTTGTTCCTTACCGCCTTTGGTTTGTTTGCTTTATATATATTTTTTGTTTGGTTCTGTTTCTGGAACTTACATACTTATCTTACTTATGTATTGTACTTACCGCTGCTTTTTACACATTTCCACAGAAATTGTTGTTGTTTCTCCACTCTGTGCCGCACTTGAAGCTCGAAACTGGGGGCAAGTTGCCTTGCGTCTTTTGTCTCTTGTCTCTTGCCGCTTCACGCAGCAACGCTCGACTTGCGACATTTTTGCTGATTTAAAGCTCCATTTCGTCATTTATTTGCGCAATTTTCTCCCGGACCATCAGCAACAGCGGCCACTTAATTAAACAAATTTCTGTGCAATTTAAATGGCATGCTTGGCGATGGCCCTGGGTCGGATGAGAATTCCCAGCAGCGGCTCAGCTTCCAGTGCGGCACTCAACTAAAGTTGAAAAAAGAAATATATACCTATATATAAACATGTTTTTCACATCCCTAGCCCTTTGTAGATTTGATTTCCTTTCAACCATGCCCTTACTTTAATGTTTTGCTATTACTTAGTACAGTTTACTACTTACCTACTCTGCTCCCACTAAAACCTTACTACTTTCTACTACTAATACTGCTACCACCACCAACCACTACTACTACTACTACTATCTACTACTTCTATTTTTTCCTACTTCTGTGTGTTCTGTGTTCAACGACCGCCTAATTTGCGATTTGCATTAATTGAATTTTTATTTGTGCTTTTAAAATAATCATGTCCCCCAGACTTTTGCAAGGGCCGTGAGACTTTACAGAATCTCTGCGACCAGATACCGGGCGATGCCCTGCTCTACTCGCTGTTCCGGGAGAGTGCCGAGCCGGTCAAGTGTCCGCTCAAGGGTGAGTAGCTTCTTGGGCCCTGGCAGTCCAGGCAGTCCGGTTCAGGGACCCTCTTGGGGGAGATCTACATCCGTACCTCTTGCAGGACCCTTCATCTTCACCTACAATCGGGGCCACGGGGAGTGCAAGTCGCCGGTGTCCAACATTGAGAGCTGCACGGAGGAGAGTCGCCTCCTGTTGAGCTTCCAGGCCTGTCCCGATGTCCAGGGCACCGAGAGTACGGGTAAGTCTCGCCATTCCTCGCCATTCCTCGCCGGTGACAATGACTCATCACCTGGCCCTGCCCATCCGGAGCTCAAGACGAACATCCTTCCTTCCTTCCTTGCCTTTCTTCTCGGTGGCGCTGCTGCTCCTCCTGGTCTTCCCGCTGCAGTCGAGGAGCTGACTTGCCTGGCAACCTGGAAGGACGGCAACTCACGCTACTTGGTCGGCCTCGTCTCGCACCACCATGCCATTTCGAACGAGGAGCGCTATCGCTGCTTTGTCTACGAGAAAATCTCCTCGCTGATGGGTAAGCATCCCCCCAAAGGGCAAACAGGATGAACTTTTGTTTGGGCCCTAATACCCGTACACTCGTACCCTTTGCAGGCGGCCCCAGCATGCTCAGCTCGAAGGATGCCGAATATAAGCTGGCCCAATCCGGCGACGCCACTTGCAATGGCTTAGACAGTGCCGAGGTAAGCATTTTCGAAGCCCCAGCCCTGGCCCCCCTCCCACTCCTCAAACGGTTCCCCGCCCTCTTAACCTGCCATTTTCACTTAGCTGCACTCAGAAAAAAGTTTCACTTATATTTTTTTCATACTTCCTGGAAAAGGATGTGTTTTCTTATATATTTAAAATACTTTTGTACAGACAAATGGGTCTAAGGATAATAAGAACTGATGGTATCAAAACTAGAGTCATCTAACGCTTTCTGTTTTGGGTCAATAAAGTAAATATTCCATGCATACATTTATTTCCAAAACCTAATAAGACTTTGCTGGCAAAAAATTCTATTTAAAAAAGTTAAAACTGCCAATAATTGATGATGACTAGATGTTGGAAAACATGTAAAATCCATTTGGTACCTTTCCAATTTGCAGTGATACTTCTTTGGTATACCATTTTGTTTAAACAGTCATCCAAAAAGGTTTTATACAAAAAGTGTGCAACTAGTCAAGGAACGCGGAAAATGAAGGTCTACATAGGGATTTAAAATGTGACGTCTAAAAATGCCTAAAATCAATAATGTAGGTAATTTAAAGAAGCCTCTAATTAGTAACACAAGTTGTTGTTAATATCTAATAAAATTTTGACAATACTCTTAACAAATCTTAAATTCTATTTGCACGGCGCAGTTTTAATCTATGAAGATAAATACAGTTTTTACTTGCCTCGAATAGGAATCGATGCATACATATAGGCATCTTTTCGTACAATAGAAATAACTATTATTTCTGATATTCAATTTAATCATGACCTGGAATTTAGCCAGCAAATAATCTCCGATTTATGTATAATATATTCATTAAATCGTCAAAAATTAATAGGAGTCAGTTAAAAAAAGTTTAGTTCAAAGCGATTTACCCCAGGTCAAACTTTTGCTTTGAGTGCTTAATGATGGCCACGCCCAACAGCTCCTAATCCAACTAACTCCCGCCCCCAGGTTGGCTCACGTATCATGTCGCTGCGAAAACCGCCCGTCGCCGAGCGCTGCGACTTCCCGGCCTGGTTCAAGGGTCCGCGCCACTGGCATGCCCTCATGGGCAATGCCGTCTACAATTATCATTCCAAGTGAGTAGCAATCAGGCCTGCGGCCAAGTTGTCATCCAAAACCGAAACCGAGAACGAACCTCTACCTTTTCCCAATTTGCAGCGACGGGTCCGTGCACATTATTAAGCCCAACGGCTATATGGAGACACGTGCGCTCTGCGAGCAAATAAATAAACAGACCCCGACCGAAATGATGGCCGTGGTGCACTACACCACCGGGTGGTAAGTGGCCCCAAATTGAAAATGCCCTGTGCCCCTCCCTCTGATTTCAATGTCCACCCATCCATTGCGCCCGCAGCCAATCGGGATTCATGTGCATGATGTTCTACCGCCGGGACACGTTCGTCATCGAGATACAGACGGGCAAGCCGGCCATCCGCCTGGAGGACGCCTGTGCACCGGATCACTTTGACATCAATAAGATGGCCTACATTACCTTGCTGGGTAAGCTGCACCGCCTCACCTTTGCCCACCGCCTCTGAGAGTCCACTCAAACGTTGGTTTATGTCGCCTTTTAGCAAGCAATCCGGACCTGGCCATCTGTCCCATGGAGGGCATCTACACGCTACGTGGCGCCATCGGACCGCCGTATCTGGCCACGCGCCACAAGCGCAATCACAATGGGAAGTCGCATCTGGGCCACGGACATCACCACCACGAGGGCGCCGAATCGGGAAATTTCGGGCATAAGGGGTATGTCCGCTTCGTGGTCGCCACCTCTGGCATTTCTCAATCTATTTCGATTTCCATGGTTACGCAGACACAGTTCGCTGAGCTTTCGGAACGCGGAGCGCATGGAGCGGGGCTCCTGGCATGCCAACACTCGAGGCCTCCCAGTCCGCAGTCGACGCAACGCACCCAAGGATCCGCCGGAGCAGCAGCAGGCACTGGTCCTGGAAAAGGTCAACAGCAGCGATACGAGCGTGGGATTTGTGGCCACGCGGAATCGACGCGATGTTCCCGGCTGTATTCCCAACTACAATGCCCAGCGGCAGCTTTGGGTGGGCTGTACGGCGGAGAACTTGATAGACGTCAGTCCGCTGTGCAGCGTGGATGGTGAAGAGGGTAAGTGGTTGTCAATTTATGACGAGGGCAGATTGTATCCACCCTGCTCCAAGCGACGGGAGGTAGAATGTTCCATTTTTCAAGTATCTACATAAGTTTTATGCAAAGACTATAGTAGAGAGCGAAAATCTGGCTAAAAGCTTTGCTGGACATTTGTTTGCATGGACGTTATGCATCTTACGGTCCCTTTATTATCTTTGATTCATCTAAATAGAATAAATATCTTTAAAATATTTTGAGATGTAAGAATCTAATAAAAAAGAAGTGTATACAATATATTGATAGCCCTTAGAAGATACAAGCAAAACATGGCTAGTATTAAACCCTAAATAGGGACCTAAATTGGAAATGTCTATTAAGTTACTTTCCTCATCTAATCAGTTGCGTTTGCAACAAGTAAATCATATGACCCAATTCAATGTAATAAATCATATTTTCCTACCTGGTTGCAGAGTACTCCTGCCACGGATCCTGGAGCGAGAACAGCACCTTCTACATCATAGCTCGCCACAAGGGCAGCAAGCACGGGGTCTGTCTGACCTATCGACCCACGGAGGGCACCGCTGCCAAGCTGGTTGTGGGCGATGCCTGCTATCGGGGCACTCAGAAGCCACCCGATCACCATCTAGAGGCCAATCTGTCAGTTTTGGGTGAGTAAATTCGCGAGTTCCCCTGGTTAAATTTCGCAAGTGTAACGCTCCAATTATTAAACCACAGGAAAATGCGGCGAAACTGGCGTCAGTGCCGCGCAGATTCACCTGGGCAACTGGCTGCTCCTGGTGGCGATGGCGTCATGGCTCCACCTGCACAGCTGAGGGGCAAGTGGCAGGAACTACAACTTGACATAGGCAGCTAAGCGTGACAAGCCAAAGCGCTACGTATACATCACTAATTCCCCGAAACCAAATCCCATTATGATCGACATGTATACAAGACACATCTAAGACTTATTGTATATTTCGTGTAGTATGTGTAAGGCGAATTCGAACCACTTCGCACTGGTTTGGCTGTATATAATGTACTGTTTTTTTCTTTAGTAATGATACACACTTTTGTTTAGTTCTAAGTGCTTGAAATAAACAAGATTTCGATAAATTAAGACGACCAGGAGCACACACAACATGGAAAACGGTTTGCAATACAGCCTTAGATCAGCGCTATTTGTATTAGGCCTAGTAAAACGCGTCTATTACTAAAAGTAGCGCCACTATTAACGCAAAGTTGCTGCAAAAGCTATTTATTTGTAGTACGATTACCCACTAAGCAATGATAACACGAAACAAACCAGAGAAAAGACATCAGAACTATACGAATACAAGCTAAAAGCTTCTTCGTTTTGTTTTTTGAAACCATCTAGTAGCGTGTTTTATGGCATGTATTTTTTATATAATTTCCAAAATGTTTCCTACAACAAAGTACATATGAAGCACAGGACGAAGGCGGAACATTTTAAACTATATATATATAAAAACGAAATGTATTCGGAGGCAGTCCGATTTCGCGATGCTTTCAAAATGTACAAAACAGCAAATGGCCGATATGGTTGGCCGATCGAATATGCAGCGTACAGCACCGCATACTTAAATATATGGCATAAATAAACAATATATTTTTATGTACAAAAACGCAAAATCGTACATACATACATACGAGTATATATAATGAATAACGTTTTGCATAGGATCGCATTGGTTTCATAATACATAATTAATACCTTGCAAAATACGCATATATTGTATGATTCATTGTAATAGTTATATATACTGGCAGCATACATACCTAGGCATGTAAGAGAAGTGAGGAATTCGAGCAACTTTGATAAGTAGAGGCACACCACTTTCATAATCAATCAACTAACTTTGTAAGACACAACACAAATCAACTCACGACTCAACCAAACGAATGAAAGACAGACGGTGTCGGATCGATAGCGAAGGAAGCTAAAATAATTAGAGTGTTTAAGACAATTAAGCGGTGATATAGGTCTAGAATAAACAACTGTGTGAATCTCTGATAGAAGCACAACCACGGAGCAGCCGGACAGCATTTGCTAGAGTTTGAGCGAGGAATTAGTGATGATCAAGTGTATCCAAAGGATTTCAAAACTAGCATTTTTCTCTCGATGTAGTAAGCAGGCATTTTGCCCAAATTCCAAAACGAAAACCTAAGCGAACTAATAGTATCGAGTACCGAGTATCGAGTAACCAATTAAGGAGTAGCAAGGACATAAGCAGAGAGCAGAGAGCAGAGAGAAAAAGAGAGACCCCTTCAAGGCAACTAGTCAAAATTTATGAAGCGTAACTTTGAGTTCCATGTAAATAGCGAATGTAATGCGAATTGACCCGGTACGCGGTACGGTGTGTGTATACATATGTAACTAATTGCTAGTTAGCTAAAGGACGAAAGGATTGTGGCTAAGGAACCGGCGACTTGGCGGGCAGGACACCAACATGCACAGTGGCGTAGGGAACAGGGGGTTACTTTCCAAGTACTATGTATACATTCAGCAGCACTTATATAGAAATACGAAGATAATGAAACATAAACTCGAGCAGCAAACACTAGGAAATCGGCGGAAACCGGAAACGGAAACGGAAACAGAAACAGAAAGGCGGAAGCAGCAGCACTCCATATCGTTGTGGCCAGACAAATCAGTAGTCGTGATGTACAAATTGTACAATGATGATCGGACGGAGTAGCAGCCGCTGTGCTTGAGCATTTTTTTGAGTGTACCTCTCTAAATAGGCATTTCCATTTGTTGTCAGCTTTTAAAACGTAAATACGAGCATATTGAATAATAATAAAAGCATTTTAAAAAGGAAAACCGAAAGACACATGAATCAAACGAAATATCGAATTATACTTGAAGTCAAGGGACAGTTTTTAGGCCCATCCCCCATCAGCCAGGACTCGAATTCCGTTTGGCAGCCGCTTTGCTGGTTTATTTTGCAATTGTTAAACTGAGACACTTTACTGAACCCCCTCCTCCAACCAACCCCAACTTCGATTTCTCACCCAGCTCCAGATCCATTTCCAGATCCAGCCTTAGTTGTCTTCTTGTGTCATTGTCAGAACCTTAGCGTGTTATCGATGTTCCAAACGGTCTCCACAAATGTATTCGAATGTTTCTAAAAACTGCTCTTTAGTTAAGCGAAAAACAAAACTTAAATCCAAACCAAACATAAACGTGCAAACATATTTTTGTAAATAGACGAAGCAACGCTTGAATTTTTATCCAGTTTTTGTGTATGGCCAACTGCAGTCGACTTATGTGTGATGGGCGGCCAGGCCCAGCTTGTGGGCGTGGCTGGTCCATCTGAGTGTGAACGCTAAGCATTAGGGATAAGTGATTTTTATATTCAATGCGATTTTATAAATCATTTTAATTGTCTATTTTAACGAGTGCAGCAACCGAAAGGAAACGAAACAAATTATGCCGTCGGTTTAGTTCATGTGTGTGATGAAAAATGTATGCAATTTTCGTCAATAATTGAATGTTTTGAATTCTGTGTTCTAACCTTGTTTGGATTTGTTTTTTAAGCTAATATAAATACAAATACAAACTAATTAAAAATAAATATTAACTGTGTTTTCAATCAATCATGGTGGAATCGCTTTAGATGCGCTGGCAATAAGTTTAATCAAAGTCCAGTTTTTATACCCTTGCAGAGGGTATATTGATTTCAGTCAGAAGTTTGCAACGCAGTGAAGGAGACGTTTCCGACACCATAAAGTATATATATTCTTGATCAGCATAACTAGACGAGTCGATCTAGCCAACTAGTCTCTCAGTTTTTGAGCTATCGTGCTGAAAATTTCCGAAAAGTCTTATATCTTTTGCAGGTAGTATATAAGTCGGAACCAGCCGGATCGGACAACTATATCTTATAGCTCCCATAGGAATAAACGGAACAAAAATTTAAATAATTATATCTTTGGTGTTTTTTAGCATATAACCTCCTAAGCTTGGAAATAACATTTTTTAATTAGTTTTGAATTTCGAATAAAATTTTATCAAGATCGGACGACTATATCATAGGTTATCATAGGAACGATCGAAAAATTGGTGGAAAAATAATATGAAACAAAATATAGCTTCGGTGTTTTTGGACATATTATCTTATACTATTGGGAATATAATTTTTTTGTATTTTTAAATTTAATAGTTTTAACTGCAAGGGTATACAAACTTCGGCTTGCCGAAGTTAACTTCCTTTCTTGTTGAAAATGTAATTGTGTAATCCCTATAAATATTTTAATCATTGTGAAATTAAATGTTTTCCATTTTTTTCTGTACAATCCGTCATATCTTCTTTGCCACTATACATATGTACAAAGCTCGAAATGTCGTTGAGAGTCACTTTGTATAAAGTATGTATAATATACATTTTTCTATGTATTCTTATCTGAGTAACGGTACAGTCAATCTTAAATAGCTTCAACTCTTAACCCGCAAAAGTCAATATTTATAAAAAATTTGTACTTTTATTTTGAAAAATTGGCAGAACTTAAAATGTAATACAATGGGCAGATTTTTACAAATTGGCTATTTAAAAGTTGATAATTTGTATGTTGGAAGTTTTACTGTAGTGCCTTATTTTTGTGATTCTAACAACGCTGTAACTTTCAGTTTTCTTTTAAGATTTATTGTGTTTTTCAATACACATATACGTATTAAAAGCTTTCCCTAATATTAGGAAAATATTTTAAACGTTTCAATTTAATATTTGCGATAATAGTGAATCAAGTCAATATTTGTAAAAACCAATTTAGTGTGATCGATCTGTTGAAAAAATGGAAGATAATGGTGATTTTACTCTCAATCTGCCTTGCGACTGCTTTTTGGAGATAATAAAGTACATAATTGCCGATTGCGAACAAAATAAAGAATTCCAGAATTACACTTTCATAAAATATAACGATTTAATGAACTTTGTGTTAGCCCACGAATTATTCTTGGAGTTGTTTGCGGCGCATCACAAAAAGCTGTACCAGGCTCTTGAGTTGGGCCTTGAACGCAGAACCACAATATTGCTTATAGATCTGCGAGTCAATAAGTTATCAAACCAAAACAGGGACCTTTTCTGGAGATCCTACTTGCATTCTATCAGGGAGGGAAGTTCTTTCAATGTACATTTGTCTTTTGACAAATCTTTGAACGGAAAGAAAACGGACACTTACGCAGACGTTAACGCAAAATGTGAGTAACAGTTTTATGATTCATCTGTTCCAAATATGCAACTTTGTTTTTATTTAAAGGCATTTTATCAGGCCCCGAGAGGTTAAAGTTGAATGATAACATTACCTCAGAGGCATTAGTGGATACATGCCTCTCGCTACCAAATTTAAAAACATTGGCCGTTAGAAGGATTAAAATAAGTGCAAGTATTTTGGACATCGCACCCCATTGCGGAAATCTGGAAATGCTAAGCGTTGAATTTAACGCTGGAGATGATGTTGCCAAATTCGCACCCCTGGCTCAGTTGCCCAATTTAAAAATCTTCATTATTACTGGAATCCACAAAAGCGGTTCGCAATTGATATTTTTTAATGATTTAACGAAATTGCACCGACCTAAAAGTTTACCACCTTTAGCTTTGAGCATTGAAGATAATATAGACGACAGTAATATACCTGTTACTTTTGCTGCTCTTGATTCGTTACTCAATTTGCACATAGACCATTTTGCATATACAGCAAACATAGAACTTAAGGCGGTGTACGAGTTAAATGAAGCACCGCAAGGCGGCAGTTCAAAAAAAGAATCTGTGGCAACCGTAACCTTAGGTGATCTTGTGGACCTGAAATTTGACAGCTCAAGAGAAGAACTCATTTTAAATATAGCTGAAAATTCGGATATTAGCCAAATGGGCTCTTTATCATTGCTGCCCAAAATAAGTAACTTGGAGATAAAAAGTCGTTCTGGAGAATATATAAAGCACACCTCCCTTGCAACATTCTTTCGATAAATAGTCGCAGGAGAAGCTTTTCTTTTAACATCGTGCAACTTAAAGAATATATTTCTAGACCGATCAGAATTCATGGAACTTTCGAAATTAAAGTCAATACGATTTCTGAAGTGCTCCTTTTCCGATTGCTATTCGGTTCGATTTTTAGACCAACTAACTAACTTGCAATATATAGAAATCTTTGTTGACGAATCCCTTGACTCCAAAGCATCATTACTAGTTCTGAAATTGCTTTATGCAAAGCAGATGACCGCAAAACTATTTTTCAAAAATGTTAATATTACCCTATTGAAGGGTGAACAGAACCTGGATATTTTTGTTCAATTTGGCTGTACAGCTGAAGTTCTGTCTCCCCTGGCCCAACTTAATGGTGTTAACACCCTTCAAATTAAAGGGCGCCCAGAGAAAAAATCCCTAAACGGACTACTTGAAGCATTCGCCACCAGCAATATAAGCACTATTGAAGAATTGGATATTTCGAAACTGGATGATACTTTTTTCAACAGTGTTTCCAAAGTATCAGAAATTCAATCCATTAAGAAACTGTCTTGCAACCTAGTAGATCTGACTGGCGTTGAGAAATTGGCCAACTTGGATAAACTTCAAGAGTTGAAAATAAAAACAAATGAGTTTGGAACCCTGTCTGAACTTTTTACAAGTCTGGCTGTGAAGAATAAAATTCAGTGTATAAGAATACCAAATGGTAAACTTTCACCTAAAGAGATTTTAAAGGTTTCTCTAATAAATCACTGAAAGTATTAGAGTGCAGGTTTTCCGACATGCAAGATCAACAATCGTTATCAGAGCTAGCTAACTCAAGTATTGAAGAACTAATTGTTTCCCCAATTTCTTACCAATCCGTTCTTAATTTAGTGTCTGCATTTTCCTCAAACGGAATAATTAGACTTCAGCGTCTGGAAATTAAGGGTAAAGCACTCGACATCAGCGAAACAACTGAAATTTCTATGTTACCAGTTTTAATAAGTTTGCAAATCGCATCTCCTGACTCACTGAGGAGCTTGGCACGTAATCCACTGTGTAAACTTCAGAGCTTGGAATTAAGTTTTCCTGTGGGCCTTAGTGAACTTGAATCTTTGGTTCAATTTGAAACACTGCAGTCATTAAAATGCGCATTGCGCGATGAAAAGGGTGTAGTAGCTTTGGCAAATATAAAAGGTCTTAAAGAACTGACTATCATCGAAGCAGGAGGATCGATTAATGAACTTTACAAGGCCTTTGCTGATAAGAGCTTGACAATTTTAGAAAAACTGCATACACCAATTATAAGTTCGCAAGAGATCCGTGAGATATCGCAAATTAAATCCTTAGCAGAACTAAATATTGAGTGCGAATGCGCATGTGACAATTTATCAGACCTGTGTCAGCTAAATGAACTTAAATCACTACGTATAGCTGAAAAAGAAAATTCAACAGTGAAAATCGATAACGTGTTGCCGATTTTTCAAAACTGTCAAAAACTGGATTGCGTCACCTTTGAATTGAACGAAGATTGCTCCGAAGCTCTCAAAGTTGCAAAAGAAGTTAATACAATTTTAAAATCTATAAGGGATCCTGCAGTTCGAAAACCATTAAAACTTCATATTGAATGCTTTGATTTAAACGTAAGTAGTTTTGCTATTGACACAAGCTTTTGGCTAATAAAAACTTTTTTTGGTGCAGATAGAAGTCATGGAAACTGAATACTTGAATGTTTCCCATAGCCGAACAAGAAGAAGATTACCTTCGCATAACTTAGTAAGAGCCCCGTTAGGCCGTTTCTTTAACATCTAATTTGTACATACTTCAAATATCGTAACGCCGTTTTATTAAAAAATATTTAAATGCTACCATATAGTATAAAAAGCATGTTTAATTTCATACTTGTTTCTAATTTTTAGCTGCCGTAGCTTGGGTTGGGATAGAGTGTGGAAGTAAAGCTTTAACTAGGATAATGCCTCTGTCATATTTTTCTTGTGGGATTCAAGGATGCCGAACTCTGTCGCGAGCTTATAACGTTAAAGTTGATAAAGCCCACGTCCAGAATTCCTCTACATTAGAACATTCAAGCTTGGGTGTGCGAAGGCATCTTGTACATAGAGATGGATAGACCCTAAAGATGTTCTCCTGCCAATGTCTCAGTTAGGTTTTGTGAATTCCAATTAAACAGTCGACAATCTAAAGTGTTTGAGATAGCAAAATCGACCAAAGGGAAAGACCAACGCTTGATAGCTGTTCCGGGCAACAGAAACGAGATGGAGAAGCCCTTGAGATTCCGTCTTATTTTCTTGGGACGATAAAAAGCTGAGTTCACCCGGTATATCCGGCAGATTTTCCTGACTCCGATTTAGTACCGCTGCCTGGCCTTCTCTCTGTCCGTATGAACGCTGAGAACTCGGGAACTATAAATGCTGGAAATTTAAAGAGATAAAGGACGGATGCAACCCAACGCTCGTGGGTAAGAATCACTTTTTTGGCTGGAAAGTTACGATTCTAGCATTAGTCTTCTAGCCAAAACAAGTGTCTTGGCAGCTGTTCGATTATGTCAAGTGCTTGGCGAGACGAATGTTCCGAGTCGTGGACTGCACTTCAAAGGAGTATGTAAACGTATATATTTATGTATAGTGTTGTTACGATTTTAATGGTGGTGTTACTGTTTAAGTGCGGAATAAACAAATCAACAAAATCAATGGATAAAAATTTAAATGCTTGGGGTTTCGGGTTGTACAGAAGATATGCTTTTTTGCGATGACCTTAGATCAACACTTCGATCATCACAAACCAGGCGGGGTGTAATAGCATCTATTTTGTAGCGCATGCATGCGTCTAGTCCAGTGTAGTATAGTTAAATAATGTATGTTTATTTTCTAAGATTTAGCTGTATGTTTAACCGACATAGCCACAGCCGCCGTGGTCGACAAAATTAACGGATCAGGAGAAACGTACTAGAGGCTTTACGTTTTATCTTATTTTCACGGGACGATAAAAAGCTAGAGTCGGCCATGATCTTCGGTAGAGCTCCCCATGACTGCATTTTAGGTCTTGCCCCTAAAAAAATGGAAATGAAATTTTGACATATATGGATTACAAACCTGTTGTGTTTCCTGTACAAAGTTATTACCAAAGTCAAACTTATTTAATTAGGAGATTGCAATTTTATTTAATAATATTTATTCAAGTTTTCGCTTTGAAGTAAATGTTTGGGTCATCTAGGCTGGTTAGTCGAATTCTTCCAGAGCAGGTGGTCATCAGTGGAATCCAAATTAAGCAACGTCTTTTATTGGAATTGTAGCTTTAACAAGTTTTTTAGTACTAGAAAAATGAAGCAACTTATTTAAAATAATACTTTTATTTATATATCTTTATTCAAAAAATGTGATCCGTGCTTTACCCTCCTAGGGTTAGGAACAGCGCCATTGTAGTTATACTCCCGCCTTTTAGGAAGTAGGAGTCACATCCTTCTTGAAGTATTAGTTACATCCTTCCTTCAGTGGGTTGCAGAGTCATATTGGTGTATTCGTCTTCGTCAACATGACTAATGTCACATTAATTTATTGAAATTTTTTTCTCTTTGTTCATACATTTGGTGGGTGAGGTTTTTTGTGTGGTATTTGCAATACCGAGATAGGGATTCATGTAAGGGAAAAGACAAGAGACAAAGCATCAGAAACCTCACCCGAAAATCTGACGCTTTTTTGTTCGTACGAAAAGGATGTGAAAAGGTGTGAAGTTTTTAAGGTTGTTGGAGATTGCGGCTCTATAAAATCAAAATCATGATCTATATATTCCGCAAAAACAAAACAAAAAAGATAAGGCTAAAAATTATAAATTATGGCTTGCCAAAATATTCAAAATGTAAGTTTGTGTAGTTAAAATTAAAAACATACATAATATGATTATTTATTAGCAATACTTTCGTGCTGTAAAATATTTAGAAAATACATACTGAGCCCACATCCATACATGGTTTAATAGTATACTTCATACTTAATTAAAGTAGCAATAGTAGAAACAACCAAATACAAGCACTAATATAAGCATCATCGACAGTAGGACATTAATATTAACCTAAATGGAAAAATAGATACACAATTTATTGAAAGGTTTTTGGATGACTTGCAATCTATTTATTTGAAATTGAACGGTTATATTAATTCATAATAATTATAAATTATTTCCTTTAGTAGGTATACTAAGCATTGTTAGTTATTTATTTTATCACTGGGAGCTGCATTTTTGAAGCACATAGAACCTAAGTTCGTCGTGTGGTGTAATATGCTAGTATCAGCAGCGAAAACAATATTAATTTTTTTAAATAGTGGAAAGTAGGGAAATATCAATTCAATTCTATGCAATGCTATGTATTTCCAGTGAATCATTTTTACAAACACAATAATATAGGTATTCCTATTTCGTGAATGAAATGGTTTGACTTAATTGTGTTGTAGTTAACTTGGTTATTTAAAGAAAAAAGTTGTACATTTTATATATATTATATTAAAATGTTTTAATTTTACAAAACTAAATACAGCAAACGTGTAGGGTTTTAATGCAAAAGCACAATAGTGTACAAATAGAACAGAATGTTTAAAAAACCAACAACTGGCGAGAATTTATGAAATGTGTAAGTATTCATTTTATGAAATGTACATATTCCAAGGGACTTTTTATATTCCAAGATGCTAATAAGTCATATACCATTACTTGAGTTTTTGATTAATATGAAAGCCCAAGCATTCGATGAATAATCCTTCTCGCTTTTTAATATTATCGTTAAGATTTTAATGTCGCATGTTGAGTAATTTACAAAAATTTCGTGCAAACAGGAAAGTTTTTGTGGAAAAGCAATTTGAAATACAGAAAAAATAAGCAACCAGTATAAGTATCTTGCTCATTCAATTATATATGCCACATACATATAGAACCCTTATACTTGTACGCTGCAACCAAACATAAACATTCATATTCACATTCATTCCCAATAAATGTTTCCAATAGTAGAGACGTCCAATTTTTTGGAAAGTTGTTTCATTCCCGTGGTGGGTACAAGTGGATGTGCTAGTTTTTTAAGTTGACCTCTAGCTCATATTTTTTAAAAGCATGATTCCCATTTGCATTTTAAATATAACGAAAAATAGCTAGCACAACTGAAGAATTATCAAAATTCGCTTTCAGAGTGGCTTAAAGCTGTCATTGAGGAATTCAGAAATCATATCTTATATTCGCTTTAATTGAACTTTATCCAAATCCTATTTGGATTCATTGATGCGACTTAGTTTTTGTTTATACAAGAATCCATAGAAAATGAGCGGCTGTGTAGAATTGTTAATGTATTGTTTGCCTTTGATAATGCAGTCCAGAAAGTGAAGTTGAAATGAAATCCTTGTTCATTACTTAACAAGTTTAAGGGTTACCTTTTTAATGTTATTGCTTTAGTTCCTAGTTTCCTTGTAGATTAAGCATGTGAATAATTATCCCCATTCGAATAATCTCAATTGAAATTTGTAATTTTTTAGACGTATCAAATCAACGTTTGATTGATAGGTATTTTAAATGTTCGAGCTTGTCAAAGCGCTTTTTCCTTAGCAGAGTATCAGTGCATTTGCATTATTTTTTCATAACCTTTATTTATCAGGATATAGACGTTGTAAAGACTGCAGTTATAATTTGTTCCTTTTAATAAGTTTTATAGATGAAGCAGGAGAACAGGGGATAACAGAGTTTGCTTTGAAATAAGTCATAAGCCTGACGAACGGTCAGTAAATTAATGAGCTTTCAATGAAATTATTTTATATTTTGTTATATATATTAGGGAGTTTTGTGATAATACATTTTTGTTTACTTTTGGACGGTCCTCTGTACATCATTGTAGAAAATATTTTTTACTTTTGTTGTTTTACCCAAACACTTGATAGCAAATATTGGTCATCTCATTAATATTTAACTTATAAGGTTGTTTGATTTTAAAGGATATAAACTTAAAGTTCGATTTATGTTTAATTTTTCCAATAAAACAAAATATTTTCGGATTAAAATATTCTATTCAAGAAATATTTTATAAAATGTCAATATAAAATTATAAATTTTTCTTCGAAAATTATAAAATTTTATTTCAATAATAACATATAATATCAATTATTAAACTGATACATTGACGAACGAATTTTTGTCTAAATGGTAAATTGGTTTTGGTAGAAATTGGTAAAATAAATAAAGTTGTAAATTTATAAGATTAAAAGACGAGTACGGATCATTCAAGACGAAATAACACCAAAGATTTATGAGGAATTTCTTTCAAAACGAAGTATTTTTTAGATGTTCATATCTTTTGTATACAATTCCTCCTTATTTTGAATTAAAATATAATTCAATTTGTTTCGAATATTTCTTGGGAGAATGTTGGAGTTTTCTGTTGGAGTTTCTTATAGAACAGGAAATGCGTTAATGGTTTTAAAAAGTATATTTCGTGGGATTTTACGGGTGATCATTAATTCTGGACAAGGCAGGGCTTCTTTTCCTAACCTATCCATTAAATATTTATTTATAAGTGTTGTGTTTGCTATAAGTTGTGATATAGGGCCTTTTTATATATTTTAACTTGTTTCTGAATATACTTGCGCAGTTTTTAAAAGTTAAAATAATATATTTTTGACGAATTATACCACTAGAGCGTCAGCGGTTTGTTTGATAGACTTGAGAAATATGTTTTCCTTTTTCCCAATCAGTCCAATCGATATTATACAGATTGAAATAGTATAAATTATTTAAAATTTATCGCTTATCAATTTAATTCGTATTTTGTTGTAATGTTGTTATACAATACTTTTTTGAAATGACGAATACTTTGAATTTAAGTTCATCTATGTAGATATTAAGCCCGATGAGATAGCTTAAGTTAAATCGATAGAAATGTTTACGAATCAGTAAGGTTATGCATAATGTTTCCCGATAAAGTATTTCAGATTGAGAAGTTAGTATAAAATCCATGAGTCAACGTATTACACGTAATAATCCAAAAAATTTAAAAGTTATTTTTTAACCATTTTTCTGGGTTTTTGTGGTAGGTTACTGTAACCAGCTGTAAATATTAGGAGGTTTATTTACTGGTATACATAAATATACGCCTTTTTTTTAATTTTTTGTATTTTATATGTTTTTGTTTTGTATTTGGAGATATTTCTGTAGTCAACGTTTTCTTTTTATACTTTTCCTAAGCGTGTCAAATCGATAACGTTCTGAATATTTTAGGTTTATACTTTGCGAGAGAAAATCTTGATTCCGAATTCGTAGTGGATGTTTTCCTAATCCTAGAAAGATTTTCAGTGCAATCTTTCGCAAAGCTTGTTATTAGTACATTTTATTCATGTCTTTTTAAATCAGCGAAGTACAGAAGTTTACTTTTTAACTTACTCTTTAAACAAGCCTGCTTTGTAGTATTTGCAATTTATTTAAGTTTAGTTTCAGAGATTTGTTGTGGATAATCGGAATGACTTTACGAATTCGTTTTTTATTCATTTTTATTTTTTTTTTTGGATTGTTTTGCAATATTTTTAATTTGTAATAAAGACTTTTGATAAGATATGGGTTCTTGTATAATTTATGTTATATTAACAGTGTTTTTTGTTGTTTAAGTTTAGTTTCAGAGATTTGTTGTGGATAATCGGAATGAATTTACGAATTCGTTATTTGTTCATTTATAATTATTTTGTTTGGTTGCAATATTTTTAATTTTGAATAAAGATTTTTGATAAAATATGGTTTTTTGTATAATTTATGTTATACCAACAGTGTTTTTTTATTGCTTAAGTTTAATTTCAGAGATTTGTTGTGGATAATCGGAATAAATTTACGAATTCGTTATTTATTCATCTTTAATTTTTTTGTTTGGTTGCAATATTTTTAATTTTGATTAAAGATTTTTGATAAAATATGGTTTTTTGTATACTAACAGTATTTTTTATTGTTTAAGTTTAGTTTCAGAAATTTGTTGTGGATAATCGGAATGAATTTACGAATTCGTTATTTATTCATCTTTAATTTTTTTTATTTGGTTGCAATATTTTTAATTTTTAAAAAAGACTTTTGATAAGACATGGTTTTTTGTATAATTTATGTTATATTAAAGTGTTTTTTATTGGCAACATAAATGCAAAATTGCAGAAAATTGATTAGAAAGTGAGTAAAATAAGTAAAAAATAAGTTTCACTCATGACCTCATAGACCTACGGCGATAAATTCTACCAATTTTCCCGAAAAAGTAATGATCGGTTATGAGGTGTTGTTCACACGTCACAACTGGTGATCCACACACTCGAACTCAAGAAGTAAAATAGTAGCCAAGTTCATTGAACAACACACCACTGCTGAACGATAAGACACCAAAACAATTTCCTACGCACAACACCTTCACCCACATTGACCTCAGCAACTGTTCTCCCTCACTCACACCAATCATAACCTTGAACCTAATAGATGACCTTTTTGGAAATGATTACTTCCCAAATCAAGATAACCAACCTGCTCGCACAACATTGGTCACAGTTCTCTAAGCACGTAAACTTCAGCCAGGAATTCACCTCTCATAAATGCAATACACCAACCCTCACTCACACTATCCACATCAGCTAGATAAATTGACACAACCAATATCGAACTAACCATTGCTCTCCAATCTCTCAAAGGCACAACACCAGGAATGAATTTCAAAATAGTTGACCAGCCGTACAAAATAGAATACTTTCTCACTTTAATCACATCTTCAACAACCACGTACCTTAATCATACAAAACCAGTCTGATCATACCAATAATAAAACCTAAAAAAGATAAAACGGACATCACATCATACCGACCCATCTCACACTCTAGACAAAATTAGAGCAAACAGACTGTGGTGGTTCCTACAACCTAATCTATTTGGCTTCAAAAAGGTCCATCTACACATATATAGCAAACACTGATGCAACTTCATAATTATTACACGGGACTCTAACATAAAAAAAAAACGTAACATCACTCAAAGTACTCGAACTAACCATGAATAAAATACAACTGGAACTCAAGCATTTACTCTCTCATACCATCACTCTCCACATTAAAAAATGACTGACAATCTCACTATTAAACATCACAAAAGCCATGCTTATATCTAAAATTGACTCCGCACTTCACACATATGTATGGTTAAGCCCCGGAAAATACACTAAATATACACTCTTAGAATAGTCCTGGGTGCCCTTAGCACCACACCTACATGAACCTACTTTACGAATCTGGTATTCCAACAATCGAACCACGGCGAGACCACCTTCATCCAAACTTTTCAAACACCTTATTCGCTCTAAGCATACAACAATACACAAATATATCAAAACAAAATCAGAACACTTTAATAACACACCCTGCCTATTTAGATTTTATTTTTAATACCATTTCGGAATTTATTAATTTGCGTACCGATTTTTATACGAGTTTTCAGGCTGTTGTTGATTTATTGGGGACAATTTTATAACGCACCCTACCTATTTAGATCTTGTTTTTATACCGATTTGGTATTTATTATTTTGCACACCTGCCTACAAAGATGCTACCTCTACTTTTTATAAATACACCATTTTTATTGGGAACACTTTTACAACGCGCCATACCTGTTTAGATTTTTCATTTAATACCTAATTAGATCTTATTATATTGCACGTTTTTTACCATAATCAAACACACTACTAAACATCACAAAAGCCATACTTATATTCAAAATTGAATTGAATTGTTGTTAATTTTAGAATACCACACACAAATACCAGACGGTTGAAAAGTCCTGCCTATTAAGTTGCTACCCCTTATACTCTTCACAAATTCACCATTGTAATTGGGAACACTTTTATAACGCACCCTACCCATTTGAATTTTGGTTTTAACACGTATTTGGATTTGATTTCGTTGCACACTTTATACCTTAAGAAGGGAGTCGAAACGACAAATAATATTTGGAGTATTAAGTTGCTACCCCTTATACTCTTTATGAATACACCATAGTAATTGGTTACTTTTTTAACGCACCCTACCGATTTGGATTTTGGTTTTAACACGTATTTGGATTTTAGATTTCGTTGCACACTTTTTACCTTAAGAAGGGAGTCGATACGACAAATAATATTTGGAGTAATTTATAAAGATCATACCTACTAGTACACGAGTACCGGATTGATCAAGAATCCTACCTATTTTAATACGAGTTTTATGGTTGTTGTTAATTTTAGAATACCACACATATATACCGGATGGTTGAAAAGTCCTGCCTATTAAGTTGCTACCCCTTATACTCTTCATAAATACACCATTGTAATTGGGAACACTTTTATGACGCACCCTACCTATTTGAATTTTGGTTTTAACACGTATTTGGATTTGAGATTTCGTTGCACACTTTTTACATTAAGAAGGGAGTCGATACGACAAATAATATTTGGAGTAATTTATAAAGATCCTACCTACTAGTACACGAGTTTTCGGGTTTTTGTTGATTTTTTAATACCACAAACATTTTGGGAGGGAATACCGCTTTGATTAAGAATCCTACCGATTTTTATGCAAGTTTTTAGGTTGTTGTTTAGTTTAGAATAAGACACAAAAATGCCAGACGGTTGAAAAGTCCTACCTGTTACGTTGCTACCTCTTATACTCTTGATTGCTCTCCAATCTCTCAAAGGCACAACACTAGGAATCAACCGAATTTCAAAATAGTGGACCAGCCGTACAAAATAGAATACATTCTCACTTTAATCACATCTTCAAAAAAGGTCCATCTACACACTCTATTAAGAAAAAAAAACAAGGAAGAACGCTATAGTCGAGTACCTCGACTATCAGATACCCGTTACTCAAAGGGAAATGGAGATATGCAAGCAGCAAAGCGAAATTAAAATGCGCCACCTACCGGCGGTAGACAGATTTAAGCGTTATGGGCGTTAGAGTGGGCGTGGCAAAATTATTTTTGGATCAATCGATAGGTATTGACGACACCAATACATTTCAGTTAAAATTTTTTATCTAGCATGCAAATTGTGGGCGTCACAGGTTTTCGCGGTTTGTGGGCGTTTAAGTGGGCGTGGCAAACTTTTTTTTAGGTCAATCGATAGGTATTGATGAGAACAATACATTTCAGTTAAAATTTTCTATCTAGCATCAAAACTGTAGGAGTTACAGTTTTGGGCGGTTTGTGGGCGTTAGAGTGGGCGTGGCAGTCTACTGAAACAAACTTGCACTGCGTAAGAAGCTCAGGAGTCTGTACGCCAAATCTCAATAGCCTAGCTCTCATAGTTTCCGAGATCTCAGCGTTCATCCGGACAGACAGACGGACAGACGGACATGGCTAGATCGACTCGGCTAGTGATCCTGATCAAGAATATATATACTTTATGGGGTCGGAAACGCTTCCTTCTGCCTGTTACATACTTTCCGACGAATCTAGTATACCCTTTTACTCTACGAGTAACGGGTATAATAACATCACTCAAAGTACTCGGACTAACAATGACTAACAAATACAACTGGAACTCAAACATTTACTCTCTCATACCACACTCTCCACATCGAAAAATGTCTGACAATCTCACTATTAAACATCACAAAAGCCATGCTTATATCTAAAATTGACTCCGCACTTCACACATATGTATGGTTAAGCCCCGGAAAATACACTAAATATACACTCTTAGAATAGTCCTGGGTGCCCTTAGCACCACACCTACATGAACCTACTTTACGAATCTGGTATTCCAACAATCGAACCACGGCGAGACCACCTTCATCCAAACTTTTCAAACACCTTATTCGCTCTAAGCATACAACAATACACAAATATATCAAAACAAACATCAGAACACTTTAATAACACACCCTGCCTATTTAGATTTTATTTTTAATTTGCGGAATTTCGGAATTTTAATTTGCGTACCGATTTTTATACGAGTTTTCAGACTGTTGTTGATTTATTGGGGACAATTTTATAACGCACCCTACCTATTTAGATTTTTGTTTTAATACCGATTTGGTATTTATTATTTTGCACACCTTTTATCATAAGAAGAGAGTTGAAACAACAGATAATACTTGGAGTAATGGATAAAAATCGAACCAAGGGTTCTATCTCATAAACTCTTCATGAATTCAGCATTTTTAACGGGAACACTTTCATAACGCACCGTACATATTTCGATTTTTTTTAATACCTATTGGGATTTTATTAACGTGCACACCTTTTACCATAAGAAGAAAGTCGATACGACAGACAATATTTGGAGTAACAAGTTTTCTACCTATTTTTATATGGGTTTTTAGATTGTTGTTGATATAAGAATACGCTTACGATTGCACGGTCCTGCCTACAAAGTTGCTACCTCTTATACTTTTTATAAACACACCATTTTTATTGGGAACACTTTTACAACGCGCCATACCTATTTAGATTTTTCATTTAATACCTAATTAGATCTTATTATATTGCACATTTTGTACCATAAACAAACACACTACTAAACATCACAAAAGCCATACTTATATTCAAAATTGACTGCGCACTACACACATACGTTTACGCCCCGAAAAATACACTTAATATACACTCTTAAAACAGTCATGTTTGCCTTAGCACCACACCAACATGCGACCTACTTTACGAATTTGGCATTCCAACAATCGAACCACGGCGAAATCACCTTACAACCAAACTTTTCAAACACCTCATCTGCTCTAATGATACACCAGTACACAAATATATCAACCCAAAAATCAGAACTAAAAAATTGAGTTCAACACTAAGGCGCACTTTTGAAAATTTTCAGCTAACTTACAATCACCTTACAACCAAACCTTTCAAACACCTCATCTGCTCTAAGGATACACCAGTACACAAATATATCAAACCAAAAATCATAACTACAAAATTGACCTTAACACTAAGACGCACTTCTTCGCAAAACCTAATCAACACATCGCTACAAACTACAACAAAAAAAAACACATCATTACAACGAATTTATAAGGGAATACCGGATGGATGAGTTATCCTGCCTATAAAGTTGCTACCCTTGTACTTTTTATAGATACAGCATTTATACTGGGAACACTTTTATAACGCACCCTACCTATTTATGCATAGCATAAGAAGAGATTCGATACGAAAGATAATATTTAGAGTAATTGATGAAGATCCTACCTATTTTTAAACGAGTTTTCGGGTTCTTGTTGCTTTTTGATTTATAGAAATGTTGTTGGATCAACATCCTATCTATTTTTATACGAGGTCTCAGAGTGTTATTTTGTGTTTTCTTAGGTTAGGTTTTTTTGTGTTAGGTTATTGAAATCAGCAGTAAATATTTTGAGGTTTATGTACTGGTATACATACATATAAGTCTCTTTTTAAATTTATTGGTTTTGTTTTATAGTTAAAGATATTTCTGTGGTCAATGCTTGTTTTTTATGTTTGTTTTGTTTTTATATGCTTGTTTTTAATGTTTGAAACATTTTAGGCTTATACTTTGAGATACAAAGTATTGAATACGAATTTGCATTCGAATATTTTCCAAATACTAGAATGATTTTTAGTGTGAAATGCTGTCTTTTGTAAAGCTTGTTATGGGAAAATTATATTTATATCTTTCTGGATTCGCAAGTTACAGAAGTTTACTTTAAATGTTTTCAACTTACTTTTTAAAAAAGTCTGTTTTATAGTATTTCGAATTTTTTAAAGTTAGAGGTAGCCAATCTGCTCACACAACATTGGTCACAGCTTTCTAAGCACGGAAACTTCAAACAGTAATTCACCTCTCATTAATGCAATACACCAACCCTCAATCACACTCAATCCACATCAGCTATAAAAATTGACAAGCTCATAACCAAAATCAAACTAAACATTGCTCTCCATTCTCTAAAAGGCACAACACCAGGAATCAACCGAATTTCATACCCAATCACAAAAAATAGTTCACCAGCCGTACAAAATAGAATACTTTCTCACTTCAATGACATATTCAACAACCACGTACCCGAATAATATAAAACCAGCCTGATCCTACCAATAATAAAACCTCAAAATGATAAATGATACACGGACTAATCATGACTAACAAATACAACTGGAACTCACACCTTTATTCTCTCTTACGATCATCGTAATATGCCCGGCCAGACACAAATTTAAATGCAATATAAACACACTACCAAATATCACAAAAACCATACTTATATCCAACATTGACTGCGCACTTCACACATACGGTTACGCCCCGCAAAATACACCTCAGATACACTTATTATACACTCTGGGTGCCTTTAGCACCACACCAACATGGAACCTGGCATTCCAACAATCGAACCACAACGAGACCACCTTTCACTAAACTTTTCAAACACCTCATCCGCTCTAAGGGTACACCAATACACACTGTATACCTCTGACTTAACCTATTAAACCTAATCAAATACCCCGCACATATCAGAAAAAATTATCGAGGGAAAACCGGATTCATCAAGATCCTACCTATTTTTACATAAGCTTTTGAATACCACAAAAATATGTTCGAGGGAACCCAGTATTGATCAAGATCCTACCTATTTTTATACAAGTTTTCAGGTTGTTGGATTAGGAATACCACACAAAAATACAGGATGGTTGAAAAGTCCTGCCTAACGACAAATCATATTTGGAGTTATGGATAAAAATAATATTATATACACGAGTTTTCGGGTTCTTGTTGATTTTATGTTTAGATATCTAAATTTCGATCTATTTTGATTTTTGTTTTAATACCTATTTACCATAAGAAAAGAGTCAATACGACAAATAATATTTTGAAAACTGATAATGATCCTACCTATTAGTACACGAGTTTTCAGGTTTCTGTCGACTTTTGAATACCACAAGCAATTTTGGAGGGAAATCCGGATTGATCAAGAATCCTACCTAGTTTTATGCTAATTTTTAATTTGTTGTTAATTTTAGAATACGACAAAAAATATCCGGATGGCTGAAAAGTCCTGCCTATTAAGTTGCTACCCCTTATACTCTTCATAAATACACCATTGTAATTGGGAACACTTTTATGACGCACCCTACCTATTTGAATTTTGGTTTTAACACGTATTTGGATTTGAGATTTCGTTGCACACTTTTTACCTTAAGAAGGGAGTCGATACGACAAATAATATTTGGAGTAATTTATAAAGGTCATACCTACTAGTACACGAGTTTTCGGGTTTTGTTGATTTTGGAATACCACAAACAATTTTGGAGGGAATACCGTATTGATTTAGAATACAACACACACAAATACCAGATGGTTGAAAAGTCCTGCCTATTAAGTTGCTACCCCTTATACTCTTCACAAATACACCATAGTAATTGGTTACTTTTTTTAACGCACCCTACCTATTTGGATTTTGGTTTTAACACGTATTTGGATTTGATTTCGTTTCACACTTTTTAGGGAGTTTTAAAGAGTCGATACGACAAATAATATTTGGAGTAATTTATAAAGATCCTACCTATTTTTAAACGAGCTTTCGGGTTCTTGTTGATGTTTGATTTCTAGAAAAATTGTTGGAAGGAATACCGGATTGATCAACAACCCACATATTTTTATACGAGGTTTCAGAGTGTGATTTTGTGTTAGGTTATTGGAATCAGCAGTAAATATTTTGAGTATACTGGTATACATTCATATACGTCTCTTTTTAAATTTATTGGTTTTATTTTTTGGGATTCTTGTTGATTTTAAAAAAAGCATACAGAGAATTTCTGGGGGAACACCAGATGGTTTAGTTATCCTGCCTACAGATATATACTCTTCATAAATACATTATTGTTATTGGGAACACTTTTATAACACACTCTACCTATTTGAATTTTGGTTTTAACACGTATTTGGATTTGATTTCGTTGCACACTTTATTTCTTAAGAAGGGAGTCGAAACGACAAATAATATTTGGAGTAATTTATAAAGGTGCTACCTACTAGTACACGAGTTTCCGGGTTTTTGTTGATTTGGAATGCCACAAACAATTTTCGAGGGAATACCGTATTGATTAAGAACCCTACCTATTTTTATACGAGTTTTATGGTTGTAGTTAATTTTAGAATACCACACACAAATACCAGATGGTTGAAAAGTCCTGCCTATTGAGTTGCTACCCCTTATACTCTTTATGAATACACCACAGTAATTGGTTACTTTTTTAACGCACCCTACCGATTTGGATTTTGGTTTTAACACGTATTTGGATTTGAGATTTCGTTGCCCACTTTTTACCTTAAGAAGGGAGTCGATACGACAAATAATATTTGGAGTAATTTATAAAGATCATACCTACTAGTACACGAGTACCGTATTGATCAAGAACCCTATGTATTTTTATTTGAGTTTTATGGTTGTTGTTAATTTTAGAATACCACACACAAATACCAGATGGTTGAAAAGTCCTACCTATTAAGTTGCTACCCCTTATACTTTTTATGAATACACCATTGTAATTGGGAACACTTTTATGACGCACCCTACCTATTTGAATTTTGGTTTCAACAGGTATTTGGATTTGAGATTTCGTTCACACTTTTTACCTTAAGAAGGGAGTCGATACGACAAATAATATTTGGGCTAAATTATAATGATCCTACCTATTAGTACACGAGTTTTAGGGTTTTTGTTGATTTTGGAATACCACAAACAATTTTGGAGGGAATACCGTATTGATCAAGAATGCTACCTATTTTTATACGAGTTTTATGATTGTTGTTAATTTTAGAATACCACACATAAATACCGGATGGTTGAAAAGTTCTGCCTATTAAGTTTCTACCCCTTATACTCTTCATAAATACACCATTGTAATTGGGAACACTTTTATAACGCACCCTAGCTATTTGAATTTTGGTTTTAACACGTATTTGGACTTGATTTCATTGCACACATTTACTTTAAATAATATTTGGAGAAATTTATAAAGATCCTACCTACTAGTACACGAGTTTTCTGGTTTTTGTTGATTTTGGGATACCACAAACAATTTTAAGGGGAATACCGTATTGATCAAGAACCCTACCTATTTTTATACGAGTTTTATGGTTGTTGTTAATTTTAGAATACCACATATAACAATTGGATGGTTGAAAAGTCTTACCAATTAAGTTGCTACCCCTTATACTCTTCACAAATACACCATTGTAATTGGGAACACTTTTATAACGCACCCTAGCTATTTGAATTTTGGTTTTAACACGTATTTGGATTTCATTTCGTTGCACACTTTTACCATAAGAAGGGAGTCGATACGACAAATAATATTTGAAGTAATTAATAATGATCCTACCTATTAGTACACGAGTTTTTGGGTTTTTGTCTATTTTTGAATACCACAAAAATTTTGGGAGGGAGTACCGGATTGATCAAGAATCCTACCTATTTTTATGCAAGTTTTTAGGTTGTTGTTTATTTTAGAATACGACACAAAAAGGCCAGACGGTTGAAAAATCCTACCTGTTAAGTTGCTACCTCTTATACTCTTGATTGCTCGCCAATCTCTCAAAGGCACATCACTAGGAATCAACCGAATTTCAAAAAAGTAGACCAGCCGTACAAAATAGAATACTTTCTCACTTTAATCACATCTTCAAAAAAGGTCCATCTACACACTCTATTAAGAAAAAAAAATAACATCACTCAAAGTATTCGGACTAACCATGACTAATATATACAACTGGAACTCAAACATTTACTCTCTCATACCATCTCCACATTGAAAAATGACTGACAATCTCACTATTAAACATCACAAAAGCCATGCTTATATCTAAAATTGACTCCGCACTTCAAACATATGTATGGTTAAGCCCCGGAAAATACACTAAATATACACTCTTAGAATAGTCCTGGGTGCCCTTAGCACCACACCTACATGAACCTACTTTACGAATCTGGTATTTCAACAATCGAACCACGGCGAGACCACCTTCATCCAAACTTTTCAAACACCTTATTCGCTCTAAGCATACAACAATACACAAATATATCAAAACAAAAATCAGAACACTTTAATAACACACCCTGCCTATTTAGATTTTATTTTTTCTAACATTTCGGAATTTATTAATTTGCGTACCGATTTTTATACGAGTTTTCAGACTGTTGTTGATTTATTGGGGACAATTTTATAACGCACCCTACCTATTTAGATTTTTGTTTTAATACCGATTTGGTATTTATTATTTTGCACACCTTTTACCATAAGAAGAGAGTTGAAACAACAGATAATACTTGGAGTAATGGATAAAAATCGAACCAAAGGTTCTATCTCATAAACTCTTCATGAATTCAGCATTTTTAACGGGAACACTTTCATAACGCACCGTACATATTTCGATTTTTTTTAATACCTTTCGTGATTTTATTAATGTGCACACCTTTTACCATAAGAAGAAAGTCGATACGGTAGACAATATTTGGAGTAATACGTTTTCTACCTATTTTTATATGAGTTTTTAGATTGTTGTTGATATAAGAATACGCTTACGATTGCAAGGTCCTGCCTACAAAGTTGCTACCTCTTATACTTTTTATAAACACACCATTTTTATTGGGAACACTTTTACAACGCGCCATACCTATTTTGATTTTTCATTTAATACCTAATTAGATCTTAGATCTTAGACACACTACTAAACATCACAAAAGCCATACTTATATTCAAAATTGACTGCGCACTACACACATACGTTTACGCCCCGAAAAATACACTTAATATACACTCTTAAAACAGTCATGTTTGCCTTAGCACCACACCAACATGCGACCTACTTTACGAATTTGGCATTCCAACAATCGAACCACGGCGAAATCACCTTACAACCAAACTTTTCAAACACCTCATCTGCTCTAATGATACACCAGTACACAAATTTATCAACCCAAAAATCAGAACTAAAAAATTGAGTTCAACACTAAGGCGCACTTTTGAAAATTTTCAGCTAACTTACAATCACCTTACAACCAAACCTTTCAAACACCTCATCTGCTCTAAGGATACACCAGTACACAAATATATCAAACCAAAAATCATAACTACAAAATTGACCTTAACACTAAGACGCACTTCTTCGCAAAACCTAATCAACACATCGCTACAAACTACAACAAAAAAAAAACACATCATTACAACGAATTTATAAGGGAATACCGGATGGATGAGTTATCCTGCCTATAAAGTTGCTACCCTTGTACTTTTTATAGATGCAGCATTTATACTGGGAACACTTTTATAACGCACCCTACCTATTTATGCATAGCATAAGAGATTCGATACGAAAGATAATATTTAGAGTAATTGATGAAGATCCTACCTATTTTTAACGAGTTTTCGGGTTCTTGTTGCTTTTTGATTTATAGAAATGTTGTTGGATCAACATCCTATCTATTTTTATACGAGGTTTCAGAGTGTTATTTTGTGTTTTCTTAGGTTAGGGTTTTTTGTGTTAGGGTATTGAAATCAGCAGTAAATATTTTGAGGTTTATGTACTGGTATACATATACGTCTCTTTTTAAATTTATTGGTTTTGTTTTATAGTTAAAGATATTTATGTGGTCAATGCTTGTTTTTTTATGTTTGTTTTGTTTTATATGCTTGTTTTTAATGTTTGAAACATTTTAGGCTTATACTTTGAGATACAAAGTATTGAATACGAATTTGCATTCGAATATTTTCCAAATACTAGAATGATTTTTAGTGTGAAATGCTGTCTTTTGTAAAGCTTGTTATGGGAAAATTATATTTATATCTTTCTGGATTCGCAAGTTACAGAAGTTTACTTTAAATGTTTTCAACTTACTTTTTAAAAAAGTCTGTTTTATAGTATTTCGAATTTTTTAAAGTTAGAGGTAGCCAATCTGCTCACACAACATTGGTCACAGCTTTCTAAGCACGGAAACTTCAAACAGTAATTCACCTCTCATTAATGCAATACACCAACCCTCAATCACACTCAATCCACATCAGCTATAAAAATTGACAAGCTCATAACCAAAATCAAACTAAACATTGCTCTCCATTCTCTAAAAGGCACAACACCAGGAATCAACCGAATTTCATACCCAATCACAAAAAATAGTTCACCAGCCGTACAAAATAGAATACTTTCTCACTTCAATGACATATTCAACAACCACGTACCCGAATAATATAAAACCAGCCTGATCCTACCAATAATAAAACCTCAAAATGATAAATGATACACGGACTAATCATGACTAACAAATACAACTGGAACTCACACCTTTATTCTCTCTTACGATCATCGTAATACGCCCGGCCAGACACAAATTTAAATGCAATATAAACACACTACCAAATATCACAAAAACCATACTTATATCCAACATTGACTGCGCACTTCACACATACGGTTACGCCCCGCAAAATACACCTCAGATACACTTATTATACACTCTGGGTGCCTTTAGCACCACACCAACATGGAACCTGGCATTCCAACAATCGAACCACAACGAGACCACCTTTCACTAAACTTTTCAAACACCTCATCCGCTCTAAGGGTACACCAATACACACTGTATACCTCTGACTTAACCTATTAAACCTAATCAAATACCCCGCACATATCAGAAAAAATTATCGAGGGAAAACCGGATTCATCAAGATCCTACCTATTTTTACATAAGCTTTTGAATACCACAAAAATATGTTCGAGGGAACCCCGTATTGATCAAGATCCTACCTATTTTTATACAAGTTATCAGGTTGTTGTTGGTTTAGGAATACCACACAAAAATACAGGATGGTTGATTTTTGATTTCTAGAAAAATTGTTGGAATTGGATTAATCAACATCCAACATATTTTTATACGAGGTTTCAGAGTGTGATTTTGTGTTTTGTGTTAGGTTATTGGAATCAGCAGTAAATATTTTGAGGTTTATGTACTGGTATACATACATATACGTTTCTTTTCAAATTTATTGGTTTTATTTTTTCGGATTCTTGTTGATTTTATAACAGCATACAGAGAATTTCTGGGGGAACACCAGATGGTTTAGTTATCCTGCCTACAAAATTGCTACCTCATATACTCTTCATAAATACATTATTGAAATTCGGAACACATTTATAACACACTCTACCTATTTGAATTTTGGTTTTAACACTTATTTGGATTTGATTTCTTTGCACACTCTATATCTTAAGAAGGGAGTCGATACGACACGTATTTGGATTTGATTTCGTTTAAAGAGTCGATACGACAAATAATATTTGGAGTAATTTATAGAGATCCTACCTACTAGTACACGAGTTTTCGGGTTTTTGTTGAATTTGGAATACCACAAACAATTTTGGGAGAAAATACCGTATTGATCAAGAACCCTACCTATTTTTATACGAGTTTTATAGTTGTTGTTATTTTTAGAATACCACATATAAATATTGGATGGTTAAAAGTTCCTACCTATTAAGTTGCTACCCCTTATACTCTTCACAAATACACCATTGTAATTGGGAACACTTTTATAACGCACCCTACCTATTTTATTTTTAGTTTTAACACGTAATTGAATTTGATTTCATTGCACACTTTTTACCTTAAGAAGGGAGTCGATACTACAAATAATATTTGGAGTAATTTATAAGGATCCTACCTACTTGTACACGAGTTATTGGGTTTTTGTTGATTTTGAATTACCACAAACAATTTTGGGGGGAATACCGTATTGATCAAGAACCCTACCTATTTTTATACGAGTTTTATGGTTGTTGTTAATTTTAGAATACCACATATAAATATTGGATGGTTGAAAAGTCCTACCTATTAAGTTGCTACCCCTTATACTCTTCACAATTACACCATTGTAACTGGGAACACTTTTATAACGCACCCTACCTATTTTATTTTTGGTTTTAACACGTATTTGAATTTGATTTCATTGCACACTTTTTACCATAAGAAGGGAGTCGATACGACAAATAATATTTGGAGTAATTAATAATAATAACAATAACTTCACAATTATTACACAGGACTCTATTAGAAAAAAAAAATAACATCACTCAAAATACTCGGACTAACCATGACTAACATATACAACTTGAACTCAAACATTTACTCTCTCATACCACACTCTCCACATCGAAAAATGTCTGACAATCTCACTATTAAACATCACAAAAGCCATGCTTATATCTAAAATTGACTCCGCACTTCACACATATGTATGGTTAAGCCCCGGAAAATACACTAAATATACACTCTTAGAATAGTCCTGGGTGCCCTTAGCACCACACCTACATGAACCTACTTTACGAATCTGGTATTTCAACAATCGAACCACGGCGAGACCACCTTCATCCAAACTTTTCAAACACCTTATTCGCTCTAAGCATACAACAATACACAAATATATCAAAACAAAAATCAGAACACTTTAATAACACACCCTGCCTATTTAGATTTTATTTTTTCTAACATTTCGGAATTTATTAATTTGCGTACCGATTTTTATACGAGTTTTCAGACTGTTGTTGATTTATTGGGGACAATTTTATAACGCACCCTACCTATTTAGATTTTTGTTTTAATACCGATTTGGTATTTATTATTTTGCACACCTTTTACCATAAGAAGAGAGTTGAAACAACAGATAATACTTGGAGTAATGGATAAAAATCGAACCAAAGGTTCTATCTCATAAACTCTTCATGAATTCAGCATTTTTAACGGGAACACTTTCATAACGCACCGTACATATTTCGATTTTTTTAATACCTTTCGTGATTTTATTAATGTGCACACCTTTTACCATAAGAAGAAAGTCGATACGGTAGACAATATTTGGAGTAATACGTTTTCTACCTATTTTTATATGAGTTTTTAGATTGTTGTTGATATATGAATACGCTTACGATTGCAAGGTCCTGCCTACAAAGTTGCTACCTCTTATACTTTTTATAAACACACCATTTTTATTGGATACACTTTTACAACGCGCCATACCTATTCAGATTTTTGATTTAGTACCTAATTGGATCTTATTATATTGCACATTTTTTACCATAAAAAAAAGCCATACTTATATTCAAAATTGACTGCGCTCTACACACATACGTTTACGCCCCGAAAAATACACTTAATATACACTCTTAAAACAGTCATGTTTGCCTTAGCACCACACCAACATGCGACCTACTTTACGAATTTGGCATTCCAACAATCGAACCACGGCGAAATCACCTTACAACCAAACTTTTCGAACACCTCATCTGCTCTAATGATGCACCAGTACACAAATATATCAAACCAAAAATCGTAACTAAAAAATTGACCTTAACACTAAGACGCACTTTTTCGCAAAACCTAATCAACACCTCGCTACAGAACTCAAAAAAAAAAAAAACCATCAATACAACGAATTTATAAGGGAATACCGGATGGATGAGTTATCATGCCTATAAAGTTGCTACCCTTGTACTTTTTATAGATACAGCATTTATACTGGGAACACTTTTATAACGCACCCTACCTATTTATGCATAGCATAAGAAGAGATTCGATACGAAAGATAATATTTAGAGTAATTAATGAAGATCCTTCCTATTTTTAAACGAGTTTTCGGGTTCTTGTTGCTTTTTGATTTATAGAAATGTTGTTGGATCAACATCCTATCTATTTTTATAAGAGGTTTCAGAATGTTATTTTGTGTTTTCTTAGGTTACGTTTTTTTGTGTTAGGTTATTGAAATCAGCAGTAAATATTTTGAGGTTTATGTACTGGTATACATATACGTCTCTTTTTAAATTTATTGGTTTTGTTTTATAGTTAAAGATATTTATGTGGTCAATGCTTTTTTTATGTTTGTTTTGTTTTTAATATGCTTGTTTTTAATGTTTTAAACATTTTAGGCTTATACTTTGAGAGACAAAGTATTGAATACGAATTTGCATTCGAATATTTTTCAAATACTAGGAAGATTTTTAGTGTGAAACGCTGTCTTTTGTAAAGCTTGTTATGGGCAAATTATATTTATATCTTTCTGCATTCGCAAGTTACAGAAGTTTACTTTAAATGTGTTCAACTTACTTTTTAAAAAAGTCTGTTTTATAGTATTTTGAAATTTTTAAAGTTAGAGGTAGTTAATCTGCTCACACAACATTGGTCACAGCTTTCTAAGCACGTAAACTTTAAACAGGAATTCACCTCTTATAAATGCAATACACCAACCCTCAATCACACTCAGCTATAAAAATTGACAAGCTCATAACCAAAATCAAACTAACCATTGCTCTCCATTCTCTTTACCAGGAATCAACCGACTTTCATACCCAATGATAAAAAATAGTTCACCAGCCGTACAAAATTGAATACTTTCTCACTTCAATCACATCTTCAACAACCACGTACCCGAATAATACAAAAACAGCCTGATTCTACCAATAATAAAACCTCAAAATGATAAAACCGACATCGCATCATACCGACCATCTCACACTCTAGACAAAACAAGGGAGAACGCTATAGTCGAGTACCTCGACTATCAGATACCCGTTACTCAGCTAATGGGACCAACAGGAAATGGAGATATGCAAGCAGCAAAGCGAGATTGAAATGCGCCACCTACCGGGGAAAGACAGATTTAAGCTTTATGGACGTTAGAGTGGGCGTGTCAATTTTTTTGGGTCAATCGATAGGTATTGACGAGAACAATACATTTCAGTTAAAATTTTTATTCTAGCATCAAAACTGTAGGAGCCACAGTTTTGGGCAGTTTTTGGGCGTTAGAGTGGGCGTGGCACTCTGCTGAAACGAACTTGCGCTGCGCAGGAATCTCAGGAATCTGCATGCCTAATCCCAGTATTGTAGCTTGTATAGTTTCCGAGATCTCAGCGTTCATACGGACAGACAGACAGACGGACAGACGGACGGACGGACAGACGGACATGGCTAGATCGACTCGGCTAGTGATCCTGATCAAGAATATATATACTTTATGGGGTCGAAAACGCTTCCTTCTGCCTGTTACATACTTTCCAACGAATCTAGTATACCCTTTTACTCTGCGAGTAACGGGTCTAATTATAGCAAAAAGACTATGGTGGTTCCTTAGCAACGACGATCTCCTACATTCAAATCAATTTGGCTTCAAAAAAGGTCCGTCTACACATAAGTAGAAAACACATATGCAACTGCACAACTATTACACAGGACTCTATTATAAAAAAAAATAACATCACTCAAAGTACACGGACTAACCATGACTAACAAATACATCTGGAACTCACACCTTTATTCTCTCTTACGATCATCGTAATATGCCCGGCCAGACACAAATTTAAATGCAATATAAACACACTACCAAATATCACAAAAACCATACTTATATCCAACATTGACTGCGCACTTCACACATACGGTTACGCCCCGCAAAATACACCTCAGATACACTTATTATACACTCTGGGTGCCTTTAGCACCACACCAACATGGAACCTGGCATTCCAACAATCGAACCACGACGAGACCACCTTTCACTAAACTTTTCAAACACCTCATCCGCTCTAAGGGTACACCAATACACAACTGTATACCTCTGACTTAACCTATTAAACCTAATCAAATACCCCGCACATATCAGAAAAAATTATCGAGGGAAAACCGGATTCATCAAGATCCTACCTATTTTTACATAAGCTTTTGAATACCACAAAAACCCCGTATTGATCAAGATCCTACCTATTTTTATACAAGTTTTCAGGTTGTTGTTGGATTAGGAATACCACACAAAAATACAGGATGGTTGAAAAGTCCTGCCTAACGACAGATGACATTTGGAGTTATGGATTTTATGTTTATGTTTAGATATCTATTTCGATTTTGGTTTTAATACCTATTTACCATATTTACCATAAGAAGGGAGTCGATACGACAAATAATATTTGGAAAAACTGATAATGATCCTACCTATTAGTACACGAGTTTTAGGTTTTTGTCGACTTTTGAATACCACAAGCAATTTTGGAGGGAAAACCGGATTGATCAAGAATCCTACCTATTTTTATGCGAATTTTTAGTTTGCTGTTAATTTTAGAATACGACAAAAAATATCCGTATAGCTGAAAAGTCCTGCCTATTAAGTTGCTACCTCTTATACTCTTGATATATACATCATTCTTGTTAATATTATTATACCTATTTATATTTTTTTAATACCTTTTTGAATTTGATTTGTTTGGACACTTTTTACTATAAGAAGAGGGTCAATACGACCCTCACACGAATTTTCGAATTCTTGTTGATTTTATAACAGCATACAGAGAATTTCTGGGGGAGCACCAGATGCTTTAGTTATCCTGCCTACAAAATTGCTACCTCATATACTCTTCAGAAATACATTATTGTAATTGGGAACACTTTTATAACGCACCCTACCTATTTTATTTTTAGTTTTAACACGTAATTGAATTTGATTTCATTGCACACTTTTTACCTTAAGAAGGGAGTCGATACTACAAAAAATATTTGGAGAAATTTATAAAGATCCAACCTACTAGTACACGAGTTATTGGGTTTTTGTTGATTTTGGGATACCACAAACAATTTTGGAGGGAATACCGTATTGATCAAGAACCCTACCTATTTTTGTACGAGTTTTATGGTTGTTGTTAATATTAGAATACCACATATAAATATTGGATGGTTTAAAAGTCCTACCTATTAAGTTGCTACCCCTTTTACTCTTCACAAATACACCATTGTAACTGGGAACAGTTTTATAACGCACCCTACCTATTTTATTTTTGGTTTTAACACGTATTTGGATTTGATTTCATTGCACACTTTTTACCATAAGGGAGTCGATACGACAAATAATATTTGGAGTAAGTAATAATGATACTACCTATTAGTACACGAGTTATTGGGTTTTTGTTGATTTTGGAGTACCACAAACAATTTTGGAGGGAATACCGTACTGATCAAGAATCCTACCTATTTTTATACGAGTTTTATGGTTGTTGTTAATTTTAGAATACCACACATAAATACCGGATGGTTGAAAAGTCCTACCTATTAAGTTGCTACCCCTTATACTCTTCACAAATACACCATTGTAATTGGGAACACTTTTATAACGCACCCTACCTATTTTAATTTTGGTTTTAAGTATTTGGATTATATTTCGTTGCACCCTTTATACCATAAGAAGGGAGTCGATACAACAAGTAATATTTGGAGTAATTTATAAAGATCCTACCTACTAGTACACGAGTTTTCGGGTTTATGTTGATTTTGGAATACCACAAACTATTTTGGGGGAATACGGTATTGATCAAGAACCCTACCTATTTTTATACGAGTTTTATGGTTGCTGTTAATTTTAGATACCACACATAAATACCGGATGGTTGAAAAGTCCTGCCTATTAAGTTGCTACCCCTTATACTCTTTATAAATACACCATTGTAATTGGGAACACTTTTATAACGCACCCTACCTATTTCAATTTTGGTTTTAACACGTAATTGGATTTGATTTCATTGCACACTTTTTACCTTAAGAAGGGAGTCGATACGACAAATAATATTTGGAGTAATTTATAAAGATCATACCTACTAGTACACGAGTACCGTATTGATCAAGAACCCTATGTATTTTTATACGAGTTTTATGGTTGTTGTTAATTTTAGAATACCACATATAAATATTGGATGGTTGAAAAGTCCTACCTATTAAGTTGCTACCCGTTATTCTCTTCATAAATACAGCATTGTAATTGGGAACCATTTTATGACGCACCCTACCTATTTGAATTTTGGTTTTAACACGTAATTGGATTTGATTTCATTGCACACTTTTTACCTTAAGAAAGGAGTCGATACTACAAATAATATTTGGAGAAATTTATAGACCCTACCTACTAGTACACGAGTTTTCTGGTTTTTGTTGATTTTGGGATACCACAAACAATTTTAAGGGGAATACCGTATAGATCAAGAATTCTACCTATTTTTATACGAGTTTTATGGTTGTTGTTAATTTTAGAATACCACACATAAATACCGGATGGTTGAAAAGTCCTGCCTATTAAGTTGCTACCCCTTTTACTCTTCACAAATACACCATTGTAATTGGGAACACTTTTATAACGCACCCTACCTATTTTAATTTTGGTTTTAACACGTATTTGGATTTGATTTCGTTGCACACTTTTTACCCTAAGAAGGGAGTCGATACGACAAATAATATTTGGAGTAATTAATAATGATCCTACCTATTGGTACACGAGTTTTTGGGTTTTTGTCCATTTTTGAATACCACAAACATTTTGGGAGGGAGTACCGGATTGATCAAAAATCCTACCTATTTTTATACGAGTTTAATGGTTGTTGTTAATTTAAGAATACCACATATAAATATTGGATGGTTGAAAAGTCCTACCTATTAAGTTGCTACCCCTTATACTCTTCACAAATACACCATAAATACCGGATGGTTGAAAAGTCCTGCCTATTAAGTTGCTACCCCTTTTACTCTTCATAAATAGACCATTGTAATTGGGAACACTTTTATGACGCACCCAACCAATTTGAGTTTTGGTTTTAACACGTATTTGGATTTGATTTCATTGCACACTTTTTACTTTAAAAAGGGAGTCGATACTACAAATAATATTTGGAGAAATTTAAAAAGATCCTACCTACTAGTACACGAGTTTTCGGGTTTTTGTTGATTTTGGAATACCACAAACAATTTTAGAGGGAATACCTACCTATTTTTATACGAGTTTTATGGTTGTTGTTAATTTAAGAATACCTCATATAAATATTGGATGGTTGAAAAGTCCTACCTATTAAGTTGCTATTCCTTATACTCTTCACAAATAGACCATTGTAATTGGGAACACTTTTATAACGCACCCTACCTATTTGAATTTTGGTTTTAACACGTATTTGGATTTGATTTCGTTGCACACTTTTTAGGGAGTTTTAGGGAGTCGATACGACAAATAATATTTGGAGTAATTTATAAAGATCCTACCTACTAGTACACGAGTTTTCGGGTTTATGTTGATTTTGAATTACCACAAACAATTTTGGAGGGAATACCGTATTGATCAAGAACCCTACCTATTTTTATACGAGTTTTATGGTTGTTGTTAATTTAAGAATGCCACATATAAATATTGGATGGTTGAAAAGTCCTACCTATTAAGTTGCTACCCCTTTTAACACGTGTTTGGATTTAATTTCGTTGCACACTTTTTACCATAAGAAGGGAGTCGATACGACAAATAATATTTTGAGTAATTGATAATGATCCTACCTATTAGTACACGAGATTTCGGTTTTTTTTGATTTTTTTAATACCACAAACATTTTGGGAGGGTATACCGGTTTGATTAAGAATCCTACCTATTTGTATGCAAGTTTTTAGGTTTTTGTCAATTCTAGAATACGACACAAAAGTGCCGGACGGTTTATAACAGGCCCTACCATTTCAGATAAATTATACTTTTATCATATCATTATGACATGTAATGTTCATTAATAATATTTTGTATTTATTAACCCTTGTTATAGGTGCATAATGTTAAACAATTTCTTGCCAGATTGTGTTTGATTTTGCAGTCTTTCGAGTATCAAATCAAATAAAACATAGTTTTGAAAAAGGTGTACCCCCTACAACATTTGGTCGTTTTCAAACTAAAGCAAAGTTTTAAAATATTTTGACCCGAACCATTTATAGATAGACGAGTAGTTAACTTATTTCTGTAACTGTAAATATTTGTATGAAGTTTAACAAAAGTATCATATTGGCTACAAGAATAAATTTCTTAATCCAGGGGTGAATTATTTTTAACTAAGATATTAGTTGGGACTTATGTTTTATTGAATTTGATTTATTTAGTTTTAAAAATATTATTTCCTTATATTAATTTGTATTAATGCATTTAACAGTAAAAGAAAATGCCGCAGCGAAATAGAGTGTTTATATGTCGTTGATTTTTCTTAGAAAACGTCTTGCATTGATGTCCTAAAAATGTGGAGAAATGTAAATTCAGAACATACGTACTTTTGCTGATCTTTTAAGCCTTCGCGTACTCTTTCCAATACAAACTTTTTGAGCTTAACAAAGATCACGGGCCCTTCCTTTTTATGTAGACACTTGGTCCGACTTTTCGATTTAGTTTAAGAACATCAGAGTAATTTGTGTGTGAGACGAAGACTATTGGCGTGTTGATATAAATGCCCTTCCTCCGTGGGACTATTCTGGGAACGCTACGTTTAAGATCGATGGTATAACTGAAATCGCATCTAAGCTTGAAATAAAAAATATGACGAGCAAATGTTTCGAGATTTATTTTTGGAACTTTTGAATTTATTATTCACTTTTTCTGTGGCTTTTCCATTAAGGAGCTCTTTTGATATTCATTTTTTCTATTTTTGTAGTGATTCGACAAGTTAATTTACATCAGTACAGGTAATTCTTAATTGGTGAAGTGTACAAAAACAAAAAATTTAAACAGTTTCAGGTATTTAAGAACATAAGTGACACATTGTTGGTGTGGAAATATATCTTCCGTATTGACTTTACAACTGAATATAAGAACAAAGTTAATGTTTACGACCAACTGGCAGGTTATTCGATTCGACCTCGTTGGTTCAATTACTAATCCAGAGACGATGTGTCATTGAACGGATACGGATTCAATATGCTGCCACGTATGTCTGCCCGCTACGGAACTTGTTCGATGATAGTTAGCAACAGAAGGCCTTTTGGTAGGGCTCCCGTTCACCCTTAGTGGAGCAGAGAAGTCGATACACCAGTGTTCCTATAACACAATCCGCACAATCAATCACACAGAATCGAGCACCCTGGCTGGTCCGCGAACCCAGACATTAGATATGTACATAAGTATATACGTAATCTCGAGTCACGGTCGCAGAGCCAGCTTTCGAAAAACGCTGCAATCGGGCCGGGCGCATTTTCAGCACCCATATGCCGACCTATGCTCACGCAGGGTATCGACTTTTTCACGGATCGATATCAACTTTCAACGCCCAACTATAAAGTTTAGAGAAAGAAATACATATTGCTTGGTTAAGTGGTATGGCAGAGTTGCATATAGAGATGGTTACAAATAAGATTAACAGCTAGGTAAATGTTAAAACGACTACGAGCTAGTTTAGAGTTCCAAAAGAAGCGACAGAAACGTGATGAGACAAAGTAAGGCTGGAAAGTTTTCCGCTAAAAAATAACTATGGATCGTTATCGTATACAGTATATAAACGTAGGGAAAGGCGAACAAAGAGCACGATGTTATTTACGCCACAGCGGTTTTTGCGCAGCTGCCGTCGCCGTCCAATTACAATACATCCATATGTATGGGGCTCTGAATACATCGAAATGTGTATGTATACCCGAGAGGTAGAGACGTGAACGGGGCGTATGAGTACGCTATTTTTAGAGAGTGAGCCAGTTGGTGGCCTTTCGATCCGGGGGTTGCAAACGAGAATCGAGAACTTTCGACTGGGTACATAAAAATGTGAAATACTAGGGAAACATGTATTTCCGCTTACGCAACACGATGAAATTGCAATGTCTGCAGAAAAGGACTCTCAAGCGACGTTTGAAAACGCTTTTCGCTGGAGGTCTTCGATGTGGGGTTACAAACTACGACTTAAGCTTAGGTTGGGCTTACGAATAGAATTATAGAACACGCTGGTTTCGCCGCTGTGTGTGTATACCTGGCTTCCTATCCCAATTTATAAAATCCGCAGGTTGGGGCCTTCGCCATTCGACTCAGAGACTGGAGTCCCGCATATCCTGGATATCTGCCTTTAGACTGCCTAGGGGGTCACTTTCTAGCCAAAATCGAGAAAACTGCCTGCCGCATTGCGAAATTCATCGACGCTGACCAGCAAAATCGATGACTAATCACATCTTTCCAGTGGGTCTGGGTCTGGTTTCTTTGTTTCCAACTCGAGAGCAAATAATGCCCGACGTGGACAAACACTACGTGGGCCCTGGCGTCATTTTGCAAAACTCGTACTGCTGCTGCTCGTCTGCGTCACGATTTTTACACTTTTCCATGTTTGGATACAATTACTGCTTGCGTTTGCAAGAGTGAAAATTTTCTATGTACTAGTTTAAACTGGTTTTCTATTCGGCTACACTGTGAACTGCACTTGAACACTTTTCCTTGGAGAGTGACGTTCTCCGGGCGAGGTGCCTCTATTTATACCCGATCCGCTGGCTTCGTGAAACATCTGCCAGTCTCTCGGGCCTTTGGCATTGGGGTTGGAGTGAGTACGCACTACTGCGTATCTGGGACTACGTGATTCGGCCTGGTTTCTCACGAGTTCATTTGTCACTATGCTACAAAAACTACCCTCACTTCTTGGGAATGGTTGCTAAGCCGTAGGTATAATCTCTATTGTTCTCTTTCTGGGTTCTAGAAACTACGGCACATGCTATGGGGTTCTGGGAATGCATACATATGTACATAAAAATAAGTAATTATTTTCCCTTTACTAATGGATTCCAGAAAGGCATAACAAAAGTGTAAATCCATTTCACTTTAATTTCCGCCAAATCCATTTTGTTAATGAAATTCTCTAAGTCCAGTTTGACTAGCTTTAAAAGTTAATATTACTTGATACATATTAATATTAATTAATACATGACTTGTGAATAAAATATCAATAAAAAGCACCATTTTGTTGCCTAGTGTAATTTGGAAATTTCTAGACGGAGACAGAAAATTTCTGGTTTTAGTGAGAGAGACCACTAGATTACATTTATATTGATTCACAGGGTTGTCATTTTTCATGTGGAATATTCCACAAAATTCTACATTCTTTAGTTGAATGTTGAACAAACAAAGAGTTGCGCACTTTAAATTTATAAAGGAAAGAAATCTTAATTACACATATGTATTAACTACCCATTTTAGATTGCTAAGAGACAAATTGAGGAAATTAATTTATTAACGAAAGAGTTTAATAATGTAAGATACATGTCGAGTGGAAACGTCAAAAATGAATTACCAAAGACGGCCACATGTAGATAAAAGGCGCTGCACCTTGTATACAATGAAATAAGAATGTTAATCTACATTTGTAAGTCAAGCATACACCACTTCATGCCCGATTCTCCTAGGTTCCATTATAACCGTTTTGGAGGGGCGCTCGTAAAAGAAATATACCGATTTTATGTATTGTTGGAAAGGTGACAGTCCAAACTGTCAATCAACTAAATAAATCTTTGCATTTTATTTTGACTTGCTAGTGAGAATACGAATGCAAGATGGACAACAAAAAATAGCATATTTGTCATATTATGGTATACGAATTTCGCAAAAAAAAATTGTTTTTAAAAATAAATGGTACAGATATATGTATAACTCTTGTTGACCTTTCAATTTTTAAAAAACAAAAGTATATACAATAAATAGTTTGCTTTAAATAATGATACTAAATAAAATAATTCTGGCAATATTTCCGAATTTCTACCTACCTATTCTGTTCTAATCCTGTTTCCAACGCTCTACCTACTTGCGCTTGAACCCCTCACAATGTTTTCCATTGTTAGGATTGTAAATTGGAAAAACCACCCCCGAACCGGCTCAGTGTATGCTGGCGAGTGGCCAAATGTTTGCGAGTGCCGAACCAAACACAAGGTTTTTGAACCTTTGGCCGCTGGCTGAGCAGGAAAGCCAGCTGTTGCAAACGCACGCGCATCCTGGGCTCAATCGACCTCGGGGTGGGTTCAATCCCACTCCTCGAAGAGAGTGAGTGAGTGACTCTGCGAGTGAGTCCCTTTCATGCACATCCTTGAGCAACAGCGCGAACTAAATGCTAAAGAGCCCAGCAGCGAAACTTGAAAACTGTCATTAAACTTCAAACAAAAAGTATGCAAAGTTTGGATTATTTTGTATCGGTCGACAGAGATTTAATTGCCGACCCAGCTTAAGCAATGTCCGGAACGGAGCGGAAGGATCTCCATGTTCCGCCATAAAGCCAAGTTGCACGGGAACAATTGAAGGGAAGTGCCACATAATCATAAACAAACGGACAGGCGAAAGCAATTGACACGAGACCAACAAAAGCGCCAGCATAATGGGCCAGCACGGAAATTGCGTATACGCCGTGTGCTCCTCTTGTTGCTTTCGGTTTTGTTTTACATCCTGCCGCAGGCTGGCACGCAACAAACAATGGCCAAAAGTCAAATGGCATAATAAACGTATTTATGAAGAGGGCCCGAAATGAGCATATGATGAATATGAATCCCAAATGGGTTTGGGTTTGGGTTTCTTTTTGGGTTTTGGGTGTCGGTTCGGACTTGGGAACGCAGCCTCCCACACGGTCGCCCTGACATTTCAACGATCCAACCTTGGATATTGCCAAATGTGGTCCTTCAGTTTTAAGCCTACAAAGTTGTGCGCTAAGCCTGCGAAAAGTACGGAACGGGAACGGTAGGTGGAACGGTAGAACGGTAGAGAACTACGGGCATAAACATATAGAGGAGCGCTCTGTCATTGCATTTGAGGGCCGTTGGTTCAGCGCTCAGCGAGTACATAGGCGGCACAAGGACGACCGAGCGAACGGCGAGCGCCCGCCCGAGTGGGTGGCCCACTCCTTCTGCGAGTCCGAGTACCAGAGCCGAAGGAAAGACCTACATTCAGTCGTATCCTGTCCGTCGCGTCGGCCCCCATCGGCTCCATTTGGCCTGAAAAACGAGCTGCCGCGGCCGCAGCGCCAGCAGTCCTCATTTAGACGCGAATCCGTTGACAACGCGGTCGCCCCAGGGGCGGATGACTATATATCCACGACCCAAAACCCACGACATCACGGAAACGACCACGCGTAGTGTTAACGTTTACCTTTCGAGTGTCCATGTCCTGCTGATTTATCCGGGGGAGTGTTTGTGTTTGCTTTGGCTTTTGCTCTGGCCAGGTGCCGAACCTGCCAGTGTGGGAGTCCTCCAGGAATTGCATCTCCTCCTGCAGGCTCCTCCAGCCAAGACAGTTTAATTAGCTTGCCCATGGCTGATTTGTCAGCCCCTCGGTGTTGACACTAGGTCCTACGCCCCATTGCACCCAAGGGCCCCAGGTCTAAGGACTATCGGCATTGGCATCTCCTTCGCGATGGCCAGCAGGCATGTAAGCCCAATTAGGTCCCAAGCACTTTCACGCTCGAAGAAGGAGCCCAATCCGATTGCGAAGGAAACACCAGCTGCCGCTACACAGAAAAAGTTGACTTTTAACTTGGCATCAACAGTTAAAACTTCTTAACTGATGGCACTGCTTAAGCAAATATAAGCACAGCTTTGTTTCTCTAGGAACTTGCAGATTAAAATTCAGAATTCTCTTGTTGGAATAGTCCATGAATAATTTTAGCAATTTCTCTGTTTTAGAGTCTTAATTTTTGATAAATAAGAGATTTTGGACTATTAGAATCTTAAAAAAAGGTTAGTAAGGGAAAATAAGAATCAAGTTATACAATTTTGTATAGTGGGTTGTATTTGTTTAATGTCTCTTAAAGAAAGTTTGTCTTAACTAAAAATGAGCATTTAATTTAAAGTACTAGTATTTGTATCTAATCTTTAAATTCCTTAAAAATATTATACGTCTTTTTGTTTATACAACTCTTTACAAATTCAGCTGTAAACTTTGAAGTACAAATTTGATCTAAAGTATGTGGCTATAGACACCAAAAGAGGAAGTTTTTAAAGGAAGTCCAACAATTTAATTAGAGAAACATTTTTATAGATCTAAGGAAACCTCCCCTTGGCTTTCCTAGAATCATCAATTTTTTGCCGTGCCTGGACAGCTTGAATTGTGCGACGAGGGGTCCTTAGTCGCCAGTTTGTCTGATGTAGACACTCCCATGGAGCCGTACAAAAGAATGTCGCCCTTGCTTCGTTTGTTACCAATTGTTTCAATGCTTACTGGCAATTTTTCGGCACTCAATCGAAGAGTGCTGCGTGCGCTTGGCAGTTGTGCTTAATGGAATTTTTATGCGCTGCTATTGAGTTGCTCAATTGCTCGTTGGCTCGATGTTGGTTCGACGATTTTTTTGAGGTCAAAGTGCACGCTCCCTTCGTTTTCAATTGTGCCAAAAACATTAGCCAAACAATGGGAAAAACGGCATTAAAATTAATTAGCGACGCGCATGTGTTGAAACTGCGGCTGTGACCATGTCCTTGGGCCCAGAACTCTCCTATCTCCGATCCCCTCCAGCTGCATTTATCCAGGCACCCAGTATTTGGCCTTATCTGAAATATGCACACGAGGCCTTGGGCCGCCGACTTTTTCGTAATGCCAGCCAAGGCAACGTCAACCAGCTGACGAACGACCCAGCCAGCCATTTCATTCCGCACTCGGATTCGCATCCGAAATGGCAACAAACTGTTGTAGGTGGCTTCCGAAAAAAACACAGAGAAGGAAAAAGGAAAAACCTTGGGGGGTAAAAGCGAGTTTCTAGAAAATTGCATTTGTTGTGCAACTTCAGGGCAAACATAACCCCCGGTTAAGCGAGACATTGTGGGACGTGAGTGCTAATTAAAAGTTGTTGTCTAATCCACAAAGCCACGAAACTTCCTGCATATCCTGAACACAAGCCAACGAAATGCCAAGTGACGATGCCATTTTTATAGACCTTTTCTAAAACAACCGAAATAGAGATACCTACAAGAGATAGCGAAAGCGCGGCGCCAGTGAAAGTGCCATCCGCCCAATCAAGACGGCCGGATGATGGCAGCCAACGGTCGAATTCGCAAGCGAAAGCATAAGAGCCACACAAGTGGCGACATTCCCAGTAGTTCGACTAGTATACCCATCCCCACAATGGCGACCGTGGCGCCTGGAAAGGCCGAGGAGACAATGGAGGAGGCCACCCTCGCCGGGGATTATAATAATTTCACGCATAATTTCGTCGATTTGCAGAACCTCTTGAGTTTCAACGAATTGAATGGCAGCAGTGCCGTAGCGATCTCCTCGAGCGCATCGAGTGCCATTAAACTGAATAACGGCCCCATTACGGACACTCTGCTGGGCACCGTTCTGACCACCACGGTGGCCCCGGCGGCCAGCTCCCTGATAGCCGCCCTGGCGGCCACCACCACCTCCACGGCGCGGAGCAAGTCGCTGGCCATCGCCGACGCCACCTCCTCCACCTACTACGCCAACTTGCTGAACCTCTCGCCGGCCACCACCAGCCTGATCTCGGCGGCATCGGCGGCCACCAAGTCGTACAACGACAGCGGAGTGCTCCGCTGGGAGCAGCTGGACGGGAGCGTGGACTTCGGATTCGACCCCCTGTACCGCCACTCGCTGGCCATGTCCATGGTCTACTGCGTGGCCTACATCGTCGTCTTCCTGGTGGGCCTCATCGGGAACAGCTTCGTGATCGCCGTCGTCCTGCGGGCCCCTCGCATGCGCACCGTGACGAACTACTTCATCGTGAATCTGGTGGGTGAACCGCCCCGTATCTCACATTCCCCAGACTAACCCCATTAATTTGAAATAAAATTTACATTCCCATTCCCGCTCGCAACCAAAGGCCATCGCGGACATCCTAGTCATTGTCTTCTGCCTGCCAGCCACTCTGATTGGCAACATCTTTGTGCGTAAGTATCTCCTTAATTCCCTAAGTCGTCGGGATTTATTTATTTGCTTCGCCACTGGGGAGAACATTAGGGAGCATTTCCGTTGGTTCTGCATATTAGCCCGATTTATGTCCTGCAATTAATCGCCGCTTAGATAAAGCCCTGCCAAATGGTGCTGGCGAAAGTTGTTGCTTCTGCGTGTTTACGCTGCGTATGCGTAATGTATGATTCGTACGAGAGCAAGTGTAATGGTGCCTCATTAGAGCTAATGTCGGCATAAATGTCCGAGAAAAAGTGCTCAGCTTTTTGCACCGGTAGTGCTAGCCATGTTAGAAATGATAAAATGACTGTTTATTTTTTTATATAGGTTTATATATTAGTTAGAACGCTATTATTCCCAACAGACACACTTGGTTTCCGTTTATTTGGAAACTGCAGTTTATATGGCAGACTCGGTGGCGTCCTCTGATTTTTTTAGTGCGTGCATTAAAAAGGATATAACGATGCAGCAGATGATAAGCCTGGAAAATGTCCAGTTTAAGTATCGAATTTTTAAAGCTTTTTACATTGGACACCATAATATTAAAAATAGACAGGCGCATAACTTTTTAATTAAAGACAGGGACTTACAAAAATGGTACATACCGAGAAGAACCAACTGGCAAAACCAAGGGCGAGCACAATTATTCAATGTAACTCCACTGGAAATGTGGCATATCTCCGTAACAACGAAAAGATGTTCGCACTCAATTAAATTAATTTATAAGCTTTCCCCGGGAACCCCAACCTTCTTGGAACTGACAATCCGCCAGGGCCCAAGTACAAGTGTCTCTTTAATGAAAGGCCAATTCCAAATCCCAGCGACGACCCACAAACGACCCGATAAACGATGCTACGCATAATTGTATGCTTTAATTTAAATAAATTTGCCTGACATGCCTATCCATCCATCCATCCATCCATTTGTCTATCTATCTATCTTTCTATCTGTCCCTGTCTGCTGAGGGTATATCCTTTATTGGTTTCTCTATCTTTCTCTCTATCCAATTTCCCCGGTTCCCACGGACTTGGTGGGCTGACATCCAAATTGATAGTCGTAGTCCTGGCCGAGAAGGTGAGCAGAGTGGCAAATGTCTATGCAAATCGCCGTCGACATGGAAAAATGATCGAAATCCTTGGTAAATCAAATTCCGATTGTGGAGCACGCCATGCAGGTTCCATCCTCCAATCCTCCACTGCAATTTGCCTCCGATGGCTACCCCAGTCCCAGGTCCCAAAAACCAATGCCAGGTCGTAGGTTCACAGGTTGTGCCAAGTGTTGCCAATTAAGTGCCTCTGCCTGTGAGAACTCCCTTTCTCTTGTTTTTGATACACCGAGAAAAGTGCAAAATAGCGTTTAATTTATATGAATTACCACAAAGTCAATGGATATTTAAAACACAAAGTGCGAATTTTTTAAAGGAATTCTTAAATTTTATTGGGGAATTTGAATTGTATAACTACAAGTTCGATTAGTGAATAAACCAATTTATTTAAACATAACATTAAGAATAAATAGTTGGCCTTTTGCAAAAATCAGATTATTTTAATGGATTGACAATTAGTCGAGTGTTAATATAATAAAGCACTATATTGTTTATATACACCAGAACACAAACTTTATAAAATCGTTCAGTATAAGTTCTAATATTTTTCTACTATAAATTAAGACAAATAATGTGAAAGACCTTATCAATTTTGACTTCTCATCCTATCCATTTTGTTGACAAGAGAGTTTAAAAAACACATATCTTTTGAAAAACAAGTATTCAATAATGTTATTTTCAGTACGAGATGGTTATACATAATTTATACAAGTCTTGTGTAATTGCCATTAAATATTTTGATTTATTCATTTAAGATACATCATTTAATTGATTGATTAAATTTTAATGGTCCTATGGGAACTATTAAACGGCTAAATAGTAAGTGCTTGTAAATGCAGAACGGGTAGCAGAAATTACGAGATATATATCCCTGTGTAGCTCGACTTTAAGACTCGGCGCTGCACTCGGGCCCATCCCTTTCCACCTTTTTCGCCCCCTTCACCCTTTCCACCCCCGGGTGGAACCACCCACTCGGGAGGAAATGTAGTAAACGAAGGCTGCCGAGTGAAAATGGCCAGGAACGAATGAAGCGAGTGGCGAAAAAGTGAATGAGTTTACCTCAGCCTGCATTGTGTGTGCGTGTGCTTGTCTCCGTGTCTGTGTCACTGCGCACTCTCTCCGCTTTCTCTGGCCGCTCTTTCACTCTCTCCGTGCCCTGTATGTACTCTCCACTGCGAGTGTGTTGGTGCATTTGTTGCTGCTTTTCGGGGTGGCCCAAAGGATCATCGACACAAAACTGACCTAATTTCACAAATTCAAGCTAGGCGCAGGGCCGACAGCTCTTAGTGGTCACAGGGGGTGGTGGGTGGCTGGGTGGCTGGGGCACCCTTTTGGCCACCCTTTGGCCACCCCTTACCACCCCACTATTTTTGCTTGGCATGTCTTGAGTTGGGCTCAGCCGCTGAGGCCTAGGCAAAAACGCCAGTCACAACAAATTGCAGCCCTCCCGCTGGCATTGGGCCCTTTGGGGTGGCACATTCTTCGCCCGTTTGCCCCCTATTTACCCCTTCAACGCGCAACCCCACTCACATTCCTATTCTCTTTCAAAAACCTGCTAAAGTTTAAATCGAAGGCAGCGAGTTCAAAGCAACCTATGATAAAATAGCGAAGGTACAGGGGAAATATTCTGTATTGCAGAATATGTATTTGGAAGGGGTTATTCGTTATTTGAGTAAAAGCATTTAATATTTTATAGTCTCATGCTAAACTTTTTATATTTCTGTATAAAAAATACATGTTTAGATTAGGACTTTGTCTTAATTTACTAGTTTAATAAAATAGTTCGTAAGTGATATTAACTATAATATGTTTCTACAAGTCGAAAAATACTTTAAAGGACTGGAATTTTTGTTTATTTTGTTTTTTAATTACAAGTATAAATAAACATCGTTCTGTTTATTTTCCAAATTCCCTGAATAATTTCTTACTAACCTGAGAAGGTTGTTAAAAGTAGTTCAGTCTTAAATATTTTTTAACGTTTTTCATCAGCATGATTAATATAAAGTAAAATATAATCTTTTGAACTTTTGAACTTAAAATCTCCTAAATAATGGGGCTTTTAAATGTACACCCATCTCAATTTTAGAAAATTTAACTAAATATCTAGTCTGTTTCATTACAAATAATATCATTGAGGGTGTAGTTTCCAAATTTCTGGCTCTTTGATGTTAGTTCCTTTGTGATATTATCTTTGTGATAGAACTTTTCTTTGTGTAGAACACCGTGCGTGGGAGTTGGAAGCTTGGCATATTTGCACATCGAACATTGCACGTTGGTGTCTGATAGTTCCACTACTCCTCCCGACCGGGTGGCCAAGTGGGTGGGATGGTCGCCGTGTTTTGCCATCAAACTGAATTATATGAAATCAAATTCGAGCCGTCAAAGACGACGTTGCAGTCTGCGTCGCAGTCGCCGTCGGCAGCGACGCCAACGGTGGCCATCGCCGCTGGCAGCGCCATTATCTAAGCACACCTTCAAGCCTCAGAATTGCAATGGAAGGTTGTTTGCATTCAAGGCTCTTTGCGGCTGGATGAATTGACCTAAATATTTCGCTTGGCAAACCTAATAGTCAGGGTTATACCCTGTGTGTGTGCTGGGGTGGGGGCACCTGTATTGGGTTGGGCCTGCACTATTCGTGGGTGGGTTTTCTGGGCCACCCTTGTGGGTGGCTCTTATTTATGTGTGTGCTTCGAAATCCAATAAAATGCGAAATGAATTGATTTCCCAGCTACGATGCCGCCTTGAGACGAAGGATATCCTTGCCACAGCAACAGCAATTGTCCCAAATGGCGCTTTATGGCCATTGTTGTGCCGTTTTATCAATGGGTGGATGGGAGTGGGGATGGAATCGTTATCATTACGGCCCTTTAAGATCCGCATCGCAAACGGGCGTTAGGCGAATCTGTAAGTCACGTTGCCAGTTTGTTCATTAAGGGGGCCACGTGATTTGCGACGGGCGAACGCGGCGAATGCGTAACGTCGCGGCATCCCAAGACCCTCCATTCCCTTTTCCCTGATGAAGTCATTTTTCAGCACTCTCTGCCCGCCGATTGTATTTTAATTTAGTCTCTACGTGATGTCGGCACATGGCATCCAACCTCTGACCTATCCACCTACGATCTGCAATCTCCCGCAATTCCATATCTCACCTCGAGGTTCCCCGATTCCGATTCCCATTTCCATTTCTACGCAGAATCCCACTCACATTTCTGAGCGAACTGGCTGCGGTATTCAATTTTCCAACGGGCTGCCGCAGAAGTCGCCGCAGGACGTGACGCCGCAGCGATAATCATAACAATAACGCATTTGCCAGAAGTGTTATTGTATGCCCCCTCCATGGCCACTCCACGCCCACTTTACGCCCACTCCCACTCCAATCGAACCGGCTTGGATTTGTCACGCCTGATTATTTCATTAACTTTACGACCCCACTGCGAGCATGAAAATGCCGCCACCGAAACGAATCCCAAACCCCAAAATAGTCCAATCCACTTTGCCTACACAGAAGGAACAACAATTTTAAAATTGTGCGAAGAAAAATATAATGTTTATTATAGAAACGTATTTCATTTTGCCTCTTCTATTAAATTCTATAACTGCAGACACAATTGATGTTAATTGGTTTCTATATTGAGTCCAGTGGCGGACCCAGAATTTCGTTTTGCGGGCGGATATAAAAAATCTGTCCAGTAGAATTATAAAATTTTGAATAAAATACATATTACATATACATACACCTGAGTGGGGGATTTATCCCCTATATCGAACCCCCAACCTCCGGGGATCCGCGCGTTTTCGAGTCACGTTGAACTGTTGAATAGGCCTTAACCACTTAAAAAACATTTTTAAATACATTTAAGGGTTGAAAAAGTTAATTGTTATTTTGTAAAAATCAATAATATTTTAAAGAAAAAATATCATCTTTAAAATACTATTTTTTCTGAAAATAAAACATTCTTTTTAGGGGTTATTTAGTGTACATAACCCCTTTAAAAGATTATTATTTTATACCGTAAAATGGCAGCCCAATGTACTTAATCATTCAGATGCAAAAGCCACACAAATATTATTTTTGGCTGTGGCTGAAACGAAAAACAAAAGTTCCCGCAGTAAGGAGGGCAAGAGGACCGAAACTAAAGGGCTTAGGGCTCACTTGACACATTCTTAAGGGTGGATGGGGGAGGTAGGGCCCAACCGCACCACCCCCAATCGAAGGCTGCCGATAAGCCCGAATATCGATTGGTATTATCTCCTGTAGTTGATCAATATTGAGCACCAGCTTACGCTTATAAACGGAGCCGTCTGTGGGCCATATGTTGCCATGTCAAGCACACTCCAAGTCGGATCAAACACCCATCCTTCTCACCTTGGCGCGGGAAGCTGGCTGTTTGCCGAGCCAACTGAGGAGTGCTTGGTTTCCCTTGAGGCCACAAATTGCTAATGCCACAGGAGTTTCAGGGCCGCAACGACACGCGAGTCAATTAAGGTTATTTTGGTACCTTCAATTATGTTTGTACAACACATTAATAACCCGAAAAGTTCAAGCATTACTTGGCATTCGGTTGCCTATGGATGACTGTGTGTTCTACGATTATTTATTTTTCCTAGAATTGTACCAGAAATTAAGCCCTTTGTTTTTAATGAAGTTGGAAATGTTATGTAAAGGTTTCTTCTAAAAATATCTAACATTATGTTTGCAAATCATTAACCTATTAGTTTTTGTTATTTTGGTTCCTGGAATTATGTTTGTACAACACATTTATAAACCCGAACATTTCGGACATTAATTATGATCCTGTTGGCTATGTATGACTGTGTATTTTTATTATTCCTATAGTTTCTAAAAAAACTTCTATATGTTCGTTTATAAACATAAAAAGCATTTGTTTATTCATCAAATATAAATAATTTTTTCCTTATTATTTAATTATTGTTTTAGAGGGGTCATCCTATTAATAAATAACTTTATGTGTGCATATCCTTGACCTTTTAGTTTTTTAAGTTTAATTAATCATTCATTATTCTGTTGGTCAAAATTAAAGTTCATTTTTTTCCTTTCTAACCATTCTCCATAAAAACAACACTTCAAATGTCATTTAGTCTGGCCACTGCAGGAAATCGGTAAAATGGCATATATTGAAAAATAAATTGACATGTGAAACTGTGTTCATCGCTTTCATCTGTCGAAATAAATTCTCTGCTCACCACAAAAACCATTGTTTGCTTGCGATTATCGAGAAGTCACTTCACTCCGTTGAGCCCGGAATATTATAAACTTGGTTAATACACTTGACTGCTCGAGTGCACTGATGCAGACTTTAATCCCGGACGAACCAGGCGAATCACGTTCGCCTGTCCTAATAGAATTGCATACCCAATTAGATAGTTTACTTGCCAAAGGGAAGCCGGGCAAACTTCTATTTTTGAAAAGCTACCAGTTTGGGCGGATGCTAATCCAAATCCGCTGGCCCGCAAGTGATGAAGCATTTCGGAACCGAATTTGAATTTAAATTGTTTTAACCAACTTGAAAGCATAAAGTTTGCCCAGTCAAGAGCCCTCGCAGACGCCATATATCAGGGTACACCCTTATCAGCATAATATCATAAGAGAGTGGCCAAATACACTCGCATTAATGGCATCGGATCCAGTCTGTTGCACTTGCAGGTCTGCCCAAAAGCCATTTCAAATCGAAGGAATAAAACCGAAAAACCCATTCGAGCCGCTGTCCTGAGTACACACAGTTGATTGTTTGTCTGTCTGTCTTCGGTCCGATGTCTTGTCCTGGCCAAAGACACACACACATGATCCCGGCCAGAACCTGTCCAAACCGAAGTCGAAACCCCGCCGAAAGCCGAGTTGAGTTCACTTGCACAAAGCGCCAATAATATTTATATTTTTATGTGCCAAATCATATTAAAGTTGGCTTTTATTGGGCGTACGTATGCATAATAAAAAGCGACAACAAACCGAGATAAGACTAAGACTGGCGAGCGAGACAGGAAATTAGAAGCGCCACAACTCAGGAGGCGTCTCCTTCGGCGGGCGTTGACCTCTGTGAACTCCAACTGCCAACTGCTAACTGCTAATGATGTGTGGCCCGCACTTGCACTTGTTTAATTGCCATTCGATATGTCATGCCCTGGGGCGCCGTACTCCGTTCGACTGTCATCAACCTTGGCCAAGTTCGCACCCCAATCACCCTTCCCCGCCCATGTGTGCTTTATAACCTTTTGTGTCTGAGTGAGTTATGCCTCTTAGCATAAAATTCATAACGCACAACTATGCGAAAGTACGGCCCGTGTCTTCCACTTTCCATCTAGCATCTTCCATCAAATGGAATAAAAGGAATACAAATTAACTTAGGCAGTGCGGCGGTTTGCCATGGTCTGGTTCTGGGCACACAATGTTCCCAGTGCTCGTGGTACGCCCAGTCCATCAGTCCTGGGACTCCCTGTCCAAGCCTGGGCGCAATCTGAGACTTGTCACCAAATTATGAATGATATGCAGCACATAAATCTCAGTCAGCAAACAACGACGGACGTGGGCGGCGGCGATTGCGATGACAAGAAGCATTGAACGCTAACCGGGACCGAGCACAACTCGAACCCAACTGTCCGTGACCACGGCTTTCACTGCACTCAGAGAAATCCGAGGATATACCATATACATACATATATATATATATTTTTACCATACCTAAGACTAGCCCCTTCTTAAAAAAAAAAATTTTTAACTTCTGGTTAAGTATCGGTTTACGATTTAAAAGTGCATTCAAAGAACTTTAGGTCTTATCTATAAAACTTACCTGAAGACAGGTTACAACATTTTTAATCTAATGAAAAATCAAGCAGCTTAGAGCTGTAAAAATCTAGTTATAAATTATTTTAAAGCAAATTTAGAAGATTATCTGTCACGTCTCAGGGATGTAATTTTTTGAAGTTTCTTAGAAGACACACCCAAACCGTAATTTCAAAATGAGTTTGAATCGAAGTTAAATAGTAAGTAGGTTGCAAAAGCATACTTTAACTATTGGTTAAGGATCGGTTTATGTTTCAAAAGAGAGCCGTAAGGAACTTTATGTCTTGTGTAACTAAATTCATTCAAGGTATAAGGATTATAAGCTCAGTTTTATGCTCGTGATTGGGAATTTTATGCTATTTTTTGTGATTTAAAGGAAAAAGGTCCACCATTTCTTCTAGTGTTTGACCAGGGCAACAAGGACGCTGTGACCGAAAGTTACTCAGCATAATTTTTGCATTGTTTATGACCAATATTTACCCATTTCCCCCCATTTCTTTCTCTTTTTTCTACTTTTCTTGTTTCGCTCCTCGAAATGGTAGCCTGGATGCTCGGATGGCTGATGTGCAAGTTTGTGCCCTACATACAGGGTGTCTCCGTGGCAGCCTCGGTTTACAGCCTAATTGCCGTTTCCCTGGACAGGTAAGTTGAAAACACTCACTCAAATTACGTGGCTATGAACTTTTATTGTGGGATCGGTTGTCGGGTCGGGTGGGGATTTGATTTGGGGTACTGGGGAAGGGATCAGGACTGGGGTTGGGATCGGGAACGGGAACTCATCTTTGTATTCACTGCAGTTAATGATGCACAACGAGTGCGGGGGCGGCATGATGCACTGGCACCAGGGGAACCACCGGCCTGACAGCATGCACCGCCACCACGGGCTTGTGGACCACGGGGGTGATGACCTTGACGGCTGCCGGATGATGAACCACGTGGCTGTGAAGGGGGAAACAGAACGTAAGTGCTGGGGGCGATGAGCAGATGGGGAATGAATGGTCTTACGAGTGCACCGAGTGGGCGCCGTGATGGATGATAGGCGTGTGGACTACCGCCGGGTGGGCCACCACGGGAGCCACGGCCACCACTCCGGGATGGGCGTGCGCCTGGGCGGCGGCGAAGGCGGCAAGCACGAACAGCTGCGGCGGATCAGAGTTCGCGGATTAGCTTGATTGGTGGCATTAGCCGGAGCAGCAGGTGGCTGCCACTCCGCAGAGAATTCCGATGTTTATAGGTGACAGATGTGATGACTTTGAGTTAAAGCCACTAGTAAATGTGTCTCAGAGTATCCTACATTTGCATTTGTCTTTTTTGAACTTAGATAATGAAATATATACTATGATAGCCTTTTAAATTTTATGCAATTTCTACACAGGACAATATATTGTTTCTTCACTTTAAAATTGAAGTAATGAATTTGTTTTTGAATATATTAAATTACACACTTGATATAAATCTTTAGATCCAATAGAATAAGACTTGGTAATATTCTTGGCAACAAACTACTATGTTTTATATGAACTTCTTAATGCATTTCTTTGCACGCTGATACTCACAACTTTGAACATTTTGTAGGTGGTTTGTGTTTTTGGCGGGATAACTGAAGTAGGAGCTAGGCTAATGACTTGTAATTGTCAACTGGTGACAACTCGAGCTCCGAGTTCGGCTTTTATAGGGGATTTGCGCCAGGGGACCGATCCGAAAGTGAGCGCCACTCAATGCAATCGGCTGCGGGGAAAACTGGTCAGATCGGGCAGTTAGGTGGTTAGGCAGTTAGCTAGTTATGTAGGAGAGTCAGTGGAGCAGTCGTCTCAAGATCAAGTTCATCATATGCTATAATGGCTCACCTTGTCCGTATTAGGCGCTGCTTACAATCAATTTCATGTTTCTCGTTTTTTGTGCATTTTCAATTGCCTTAGAATGTAGTTGGCCGCGATACCATTGATACCATTCATCACTGGCCGCCAGGAATCGAAATGCCAGCCCTGCGCTTCCTGGCCCATAAAGTATAAAAAAACGATGGTGATAACGATGTGGCCATAAAGTGACCAACTGATTTATCATGTTTTACTGAATCGCCTTGACGTGTGCCAGTCATAACCCCAAGGACAATAAGATTTGCCAGCCGCCCGTGGCTTTATGTGCACTTTCATTTATATCAATTTCTGACCACTATCCGGGGATGAGGAGTTGTGGCCGGAGGCACTGACTCTGCTCCTGCTCCTGCTTATGTTTCTGAGTTTCTGCCACTGTCATTTTTCAGCCAGCGGGGACAAAGGCGTAGTCCATCATTTGATCGTTTGGTCACCCACAGGCCCGCATCTCAGCCACCGCCCATGTTTAATCCCAACCCATTGGAGTGCAGGTCCAAATCCTCCTCCATCGATGTCCGTTTATCCAGTTGTTTTGGCCAAGTTTGCTGCTGCTTTGTGCTTTTACGAGCCATCGTAAACTGAATCGAAATTTAAGATTTATTATCTGTAACACGAAACTTAAATCTCTCCTCGGACTTAGGGGCTGATGGGTGGATGGTTGGATGCTGTGCCACTAATACCCCACTGACTTAGCTTACTCTTATACTTATGCCAAAGCCATTTAATTAGGGTCGTTTCTTTTGCAAATACGTAAGTAGATTGTGTATTATCATAAAGTCCATATAGCTGGGCACTCGGTTATAAACATAGTTGTGACTTTATGGCGCTGGCATTGCGACTTTTGTGTCTCTTGTGTCTTCCTCGCAAATGTCAACAGTGCGTATGGGTAACCGCATAAGAAACCGGAATAAAACCCATAAAACCACGTGGATCTAGGGAGGCGGAAGGGGTTGTGGGGAAAGTATCCAATTATTAAACTTGTCGTTTCTGGAAGGCTTTAAAAGCGCCAGTATGAAATAGTTTTGTTAGCTGTCCTGGGAAAAAGTGTATTCACGCTTTATTTCGCTGAGAAAGTATAAAGAAATTCATTTTGCTTGACAAATATGCCAACGACACTGAACTGTCGTCCCAAAAAGATTTACAATATGGTACTTAGCAAAATGAACGAGCTACAATTATTTTAAATTGCGGAATAATTATGGTAATATCATTTTGAAAAACAAGTTGAAATTCCTACTAGGACGCAAAAAAAGTACTCAATTGCAAAACGTTCTTATAATCATATTTTTATATTTTCCTTAACGAAAAGGCTTTATAAACTCGAAAATATTGCTAATTTTAATATCTTGAATTTAAAATCAAGATTCAATTTAACATGTTGTTTAGACTGCACTTATTACTTTCTAATCAAACAAGTGTTTTTAAATTAAATAATAAACAACGTATTCACTAAAGAAAGACATTTCGAAACTATGTAAATTTTAAGTGTTGGCCAATTTTGAATTTAATAAAACATTGCTTTAATAGTTTTCTTATTTTAAAAGCAAAATTAAAAACAGCAAGCTTTACTAAGCTGCACTGATTAAATTTTCTGATTTATTTTTCCGAGTGCTTGTCCACCCCGAAGAACTCAATTAGGCTCTCGCCTGATTTATGAGCATACAAATCGCATGGACCGAATTATGCTAATGCAATTGGTTTGCTCCTATAAATAAACGTTATGACAATTTGATTATTGGCTTTGCCGACAGCTCTGTTTTGGCCTGGCCCCAAGCCCCTGTTGACCACATTCCGAGATGAGGGTCCGGACCACATTGTTTAGCTGGCTATTTTTAGGAGAAATAGGATTCTTGGACGGGGGCCGCCCTCTAATGGAATTACCGCCGTGTTATCTGCCCAATGTTTTTTGCCGGACAGACGCAGGCGACGACCCAAGTCCAAAATACGAGCACAATGCACGTAATTACATGGTTGTGGCCCTGCTCCTGGGCAGACACCCAGTTGGCCCGGGACGGGACAAGTCTTGTCTATGGCCATTCAGCGGGCGCCACAATGAGCCGGCTGCACTAAGCTAAATGAAAAATGCTGAACTCGTTGTTGGCCCCATACCGACTCGTCTCGCTACCTCGCAGCTCGCAGTTTGCAGCTCTTATTCAAATTACGATTCATTATGGCGAGCAGAATAAAAAATGAGACCCCTGCTCCGATTCCTCCACGTTTTTCGAGGGCGGAGCAGGCGGGTTCAATAGTCGAGATTGGAAAGCGAACACTCAGCAGAAAAAGGCTTAGGACGGCATCCTGCGTGTGCGAATTAATCAGCGGAGATATTTGCATGCCAGGCTCCTAGTTGAAACGGTGTCGTCATCGTCATCGTCGCCTCGACTCGACAGCCTGATGATTGCCATTATCCTTGACGGCTCAGCGCTGTCAGCGGCATCTGACGGTGGGGACCGGTGACGGAGCAGGGGTTCCCACTTTGACTATCTGGTAAAAACAGCCTTTGTTGGGACCGCTCCCCTCTTGCAGGTTCATTGCCATCTGGTGGCCCCTGAAGCAGATGACGAAGCGACGTGCCCGCATCATGATAATCGGCATATGGGTGATCGCCCTGGTGACCACCATCCCGTGGCTGCTCTTCTTCGACCTGGTGCCCGCCGAGGAGGTCTTCTCCGACGCCCTCCTCTCGGCCTACTCGCAGCCGCAGTTCCTCTGCCAGGAGGTCTGGCCCCCGGGCACGGACGGGAACCTGTACTTCCTGCTGGCCAACCTGGTGGCCTGCTACCTGCTGCCCATGTCCCTGATAACGCTCTGCTACGTGCTCATCTGGATCAAGGTCTCCACGCGGTCCATTCCCGGCGAGTCGAAGGACGCCCAAATGGACCGCATGCAGCAGAAGAGCAAGGTGAAGGTCATCAAGATGCTGGTGGCCGTGGTCATCCTGTTCGTGCTCTCCTGGCTGCCGCTGTACGTCATCTTTGCGAGGATCAAGTTCGGCTCGGACATCTCGCAGGAGGAGTTCGAGATCCTCAAGAAGGTGATGCCGGTGGCCCAGTGGCTGGGCTCCTCGAACAGCTGCATCAACCCCATCCTCTACTCGGTGAACAAGAAGTACCGGCGCGGCTTCGCTGCCATCATCAAGTCGCGCAGCTGCTGCGGACGCCTCAGGTGAGTTCAAGTACCCATTTTTATTGATTATCAGGTATTTTAAATAAATCCTCCGGTATTGTAAATAGGTTTAGTTTTCTTAAACCGTGTCTTTAATTCATGGAATAGCTTCCAAGTTCCACATCAATCAAACTTTCTTTTTCTTTTTCTTACCACCCAGGTACTACGACAACGTGGCCATCGCCTCCAGCACCACCAGCACTCGGAAGTCGTCGCACTACCACCAGAACAGCTCGCGGAAGAGTCCGAGCAGCAAGGGCAACGCGGTGTCCTACATCTACGAGCACAACTCGCTAAGGCGCCACAACATGATGCTCAAGCAGGACAGCAACCTGTCGCAGCAGATGCTGCTCAAGCAGGACTCGCACGGCTCGCGCCAGTTCCTCATCAAGCAGGAGAGCTCCTGCAGCGACGCCTCCGGGATCCGGCGTCCCCTGTGCCAGCAGGACAGCAACGGCTCTAAGGTGTCGTTGTCCAAGCAGGACTCGATTGTGTCCTACATGGAGGCCCGTCGGGCGGCGGGACACGGTCTGAACGACATGCCGGCCGACAGGGACAGCGTCTCCATGGACGTCTCCCGGCGTCCTGGGGCCACCACGAGCACCCTGCTGGACAAGCGGCAGAAGTTCGTGAAGCAGGACTCGGTGATCTCGTTCGTGGACCAGCGACCCGAGCAACGACGCCATCAACTGGTCAAGCAGGACTCGGTGATCTCCTTTGCCGACCAGCGACGCGGACTACTCCACAAACAGGACTCGCTGATGGCCAACCGGACGGGTGACGCACCCACCCACCACGTCTCCATCCTGAAGAAGACCGACTCGCAGCTCAGCTACGGCAGTTCCACGTCTCCGCGCAGGAATGCGGATCTATACGAATAAGTGACCCTGGGTTGAACGAGCTCCTAACTCTGGGTGGAACACCCTACCATTTGTGTGGGTCGATTTTTGTTGAACAAAAAAAGATAGAAAGCTATGGCGATTAAAGTAATCCCAATTACAATATAATTTTAACTCTTCAGTTCTTAACAATAATACGAATTGCTTTAATTATTCTTTGGATCACATAGCCCCCTAAGATTTTTGCTCAACAAATCGACCCACCCTAACATACAAACTAACGCAACGATACCAAAAACTTACCGAACCACAAAGAGAAATCCTTGTATATTTCTACAGATCGAAAGAGAGCAGAGTGATAGGGCCTACGACTGTGATACAAGTCGGCAGTGCTGGTGGGTTCAGAACTTGGGCTAGTCAGTGCCGCACATATCCGTCATCGTCGTTGGGACAGGATAGTGGATAGGATAGAGTGCCAGTAGGGACGGACCAATTGGGGTGGGTATATCTAATCAGAGATCGCTTAGCTAGAAACAGACACGGCACGGAAAGCGGGACTACACAACCACAGCCACAATCCACAGAAAACCGAAACCGAAAGCAGACACTCCCCACAGACCTAATAGTTAATAGATGTTTTATACGTGTTTCAGAGGTACTACACAAGATATGAACTACTCCTTGGCTATGGCTATATAATACCTACATATATGTACCGTTACGCAGTTTTAAGATTGTTTGTACTCGCAATTTGCTATATCGAAAAGTTTGGTTAAGAGTGGGCGGTAAAAACGTGGGAAAAATGAAGGGGTTAAAATAGCTTTGCTAAACTTTTTGTACGAACGGCGAACGTGAGTGAAACGGGCAAGTCCAGTATCATAGTTGAGAAACGAAAACAAAACAAAATGAGATAACACCGAGGTCTAAAGTAACGTACCTACTAAATTTTTGTATGGAAATTCTTACAATTTATACATATATATTTATATTGATTTTGGAATAAGCAATATGCAATACAAGCGTATGTCTGCGCGTACGCCGTGTATCTATCGAACAACAATAATCAATTTTATTAGAATTTTACACAACCGAGTCGCGGCAGCGGAAATGGCACAGCAGCGAAAAATGGAAAATGAAAATGGCAAATAGGAAATGGAAAATGGAAAATGGTTAGTAATCGCAATACAACGGAAGGGCGAATGATTGGCACAACATCATAGCTTAGTTATCGGACACGTAGTCGGCCAATCGCCGATCATTTCGATAAAATCGATTTCGATTGATCGGCGGGTGGCATAGTGATGGCATCGAACGCGCACAAAGTAGCACTTGACCATGCTGGGACAGAGTCGACGGGATGGGGTAGATTAGGGACTAGGGATAGATTAGGATTAGCTGGACGGAGCAGTTGGTTGTCCGCTAAGTGAGCACAAAGCAGTCAAAGATTTCGCACTAAACGTATCACTACAAACTAACAAAGAAGCAAACAATAATCGAACTCAAATTCGTTAAACACTAAACACCAATGAACTTTAAACTATATGAAATAAAATTTTAACGGATAACGGGAGTAGGCGGAATCAATGGTAAAACTATGAAACTAAACGTAAAGATTAACTATGCAATTTTATTGTTAGCCAAAATTTTATAAATGTCAAGTAACGAACAAGTAAATATTTATATGTATACAGAATATATCAAGTATAAAGCATACGTTATATATCTTTATATACTTCGATGGCATTAGGCGCTGATTTGTGGAGTTTTGGCCTGCTTCAATCCGATTGGAGATTAGTTTAGCCGTATTCCTCGCTCTCCATTATTCAGACTTGGGGAGCTCAAAGCCCAGTCCAAGAACCGAAAGAGTTGAATTCTCGACGAGGACACGCACGACATGGTCCAAACTCCAGCGCTTAATGCATGGCAAGAATCTACAATGAGGAATATCAATAATATATTTCAAATATACATACATATATTTATATAGGCCTAGCGACTCATTTGCCAGCGGTATTGGCAACCAACCACAGAACCGAACAACAACGTCTAGTAAACAAGAGATTACATTTATACGAATACATATTATATGCTGCAAGTATGTAAAGCGCGCAATAGAAATGTCCTTTCCCGCTTTCGATTCCACTTAAAGAAGAACCCGAAAGTAGCGAGCAGGCGGATTTAAGCAAAAGTAATATTTATCGAGTAAACCAAATTGAACTTTAGGTTTTAAAGTTTTAAAACGTAGAGCATACCCATACTCACTTGCATGAGCATTATGATATCTAAAAAGAGATCGCGCGTTAACCAGTTAAACAGAAAGCATGGCATTAATGGCAACACAATATTATATATGTAAATATATGTGTTTATGCATACATATATATGTATATTTATCGCATAGAACTAACACCAAAGATACATGCATGTTAGCAGAAATAATGAATAAATAAATAAATAATAATTAAACTAAAATGAAGTTTTTTGAATTTAATTGGACAGATAAATAAGGAAATTAAATAGATTTCCGTTTAATAGAATGTCAATTTGAAACATAATCTGGGAAGCATGAAGAATATAGCATACTTTTGGGCAACGCGCCATTAAGAACGGATACCATATTTAAGTTTGTTAAAAAGGAATAGTAAGTACAATATAATAAACAGTGGCGGATCCAGAATTTGATTGTAGGGGATACAAAAAATAGTGTCGAGTAGAAATAAGAAATAAATAAGAATAAAATACACATTACATATCCTTTTGACCCGAGTGGGGCATCTACCCCCAATTACCACCCCACCCCCCCATGCATCCGCGCATGATAATAAACGTTGTTTTTAGAAGAGTTCTGGAAATATCTTTCACGTTATGAAATAGCTCTTCTTGTAGCTCGAACTTCGTAACAGAGTATCCTCTAGACTCAGCTTATCAAAAACCCCTCTTATTATAGCTTCAACGGTTATCTTTGTTTAAACTTATCTCGAAAAAGCTCAACACACTGATAACCCATGATTTAAATCGATGTGGGCTAGCAATTGCATTGTATTCGAATCAGTTTCTCATAGGAAAGCGAACAGAACGGACTTGCCATGAACCGCTGGACAAATCGCGTTGCCGTCGTCACAGGAGCCAGTGCTGGGATCGGAGAAGCCTGCTGCCGGGATCTGGTGGCCAAGGGAATGGTGGTAGTGGGCTTGGCCCGCCGAGAGAATGTTCTCCAAAAGATTAAGGCCTCCTTGCCGGCCGATCAGGCTGCTCGGTTCCACACCCGTCCTTGTGACGTCAGCAACGAGCAACAGGTCAAGGATACCTTCGCCTGGATCGACAAAGCCCTGGGGGGAGCCGATGTCCTTATCAACAATGCCGGGATAGTGCGTAAGATCAACATCACGGATGAGGGGAACTCGGCCGATGTGCGGGCCATTTTGGATGTCAACGTACTGGGGGTGACCTGGTGCACCCGGCAGATGTTTCTGTCGCTGCAGCGCCGCAAGGTGAACGACGGTCATGTGGTGATCATCAACAGTGTGGTGGGTCACCAAGTGCCTGCCGTGGAGGACTTCAGCCTAAATATGTATGCGCCCTCCAAGCATGCGATCACCGCCCTAACCGAGATCCTGCGACAGGAGTTCAACAAAAAGGGGACCAAGACCAAGATTACGGTGAGTAAGACTGGATAAATAGGCTTGCTTGGTAATATATCCCCATCTTTCCGATTTCAGAGCGTCAGTCCCGGCGTGGTGGACACGGAAATCTTCGAAGCAGGCTCTTGGGAGCAACCCAATGGCATGCCCATGCTGCGATCGGCGGACGTGGCAGATGCAGTATCCTACTGCATCCAGACGCCGCCAAATGTCCAGATACACGAGCTCATTATCAAGCCTGTTGGGGAGAGCTTTTGAAGTGCCTCTTCGATAAGCTGGCCAAGTTCGCAATTGTAACTAATCAAATAAAGAAGATTACGTGTCAATTGGTGTGCAATTAAAGAAAATAAATTGAACTTTTGACTAATGACTATGCTACTTGTAAGTAGCCGTCCTTAACCTTTATTTAAACTTGGAAACTTTGAAACTATTTTAAATCAACTTGTAAATGAATTGCTTTATATTACATAGCGTTACTCTTGGGCAAGAGCTAAATAAATTTATAGTTCTTAATTAAATTTTATTAAAAAGGCTTGCATAAACGTATACAGCTGCCGATAAGCTCTGCTGTAAATTGAGTTCAAGTGTGGCACTGTACATGGTCAATTACCATGAATGTGGATGAGATCATTGTTAAAAAAGCATGTCATTTATCAAGAACTCTCGTACTAAACCTGTTGCTTGAATATCATCGCCGTCGTTACTGGGTCGAACTCACGAATCGGAGCGGCCTGCTGACGGGATCTAAGGGCCAAGGGAATGGTAGTCGTGGGATTGGCCAGAAGAGAACACCGCCTCCAGGAGCTAAAGTCCGGTCTACCTGTCGATCTGGGTTGTCGTCTCCACAGGCACCCTTATGATGTCAGCGATGAGCAACAGCTTATAGAGAACTTCGCTTGGATCGATCGTTTTTTGGTAGATGTCGTTATCAAAAAACCAAAAAAGTCCGAAATATCAACGTTACGGACGCTGGAAACGGTGATGATTTAAGGGCCATTCTGGACACCAATGTGATGGTAGTGACCTGCCGCAACCGGCAGATGATTAAATTCCTGCAGCATCGCAGGAAGGATTAAACCTTAACATGTTTGCACCACCCAGGCACGCGATTGCAGCTTTCACCGAGGTCCTGCACAAAGAATTTATTAAAAAGGGCGCCAAAAACAAAATAACTGTTGGTACAAGTTTCATAAAGTATACATATAATTTTCAAAGATTCCCCCTTTCAACCACGGCATGTGGGTACGGAAATTCTCGATAAGGGCTCTGTGGAATAGAGCTCCGGCATGCCCATGCTGAGTTCGGAAGATGTAGCCAATGCGGTCTCATATTGCATCCAAACTCCCCCGAAATGTTCAAATGTATGAGCTCACTGTCAAGGAACAAGGAATGTAAAGGGTCTTTTGTTTCTCGATAAGAATATGTTTATGCTTACTCCTCAAAAACTTTCAAACAGTAGCTCAGCTGCACCTATTTATAATCAAGCCCGAGGGAAATGTCATGAAAACAAAAACTGGCAGATGTTTTAACAAAATAATGAATAACCACCATAATCAGTTTCATACTTCATTGCATTTACAATACAAAATTTTTCTGAGAAAAAGCAAATTGCATTTTTAGGGTGCGTGTGCAACGCATAGCGAGCGTTATCGTGTTTATACCCGCTACTCGTAGAGTAAAAGGGTATACTGATTCGCCAGAAAGTTTGCAACAGATAGAATCAAGCGTCTCCGACCCCATGAAGTATATATTCTTGATCAGGATCACTAGCCGAGTCGATCTAGCTACTTGTCACTTGACTAAAGCGTTTCTTCTTTTATTTTATGTTGTTATTACCAATAAATTTACTTACGAAAGAAAATACGGATAGAGGCATAAAATGGGCAATGATGGGCAGTAAATAAATAATTCTTATTTATATATTTATTTTTAGGGTTGTTTTTTTTTGTAGCCTATCAAATATTATGAAATTTTATAATATGTACAACAAAAAGTAAACAAAACATTCCATATATTGAACGCGAGTCTTATCTAATATCTAAAAGTAGTCTTCTTCTTTTTTATCCGCATAATTAAAGGTTTGAGAATCAACGGAATCTCGTCTTTCAGAAAAAAATTCTGTACAATAACCAGAGTCGGGAGTTTTGTATGAGTAGGAAACGTTTAAATATGCCTCATCAATGTCGTCCACCTTGGGGAAGAAAATTGTAAAGGTCGGTATGATGTGTCATTACCATTACTACTTACATGAATGTTCGGAAAAGGGGAGTATTCAATTATACAAAGTTTTAAGGGCCCTTGAAGTGCAGGATCCCGTATGGGTTTTAGAATTTGGTTTATTCTGCTTGCAAGGTTTGTAGCCACTGCCTCTCCTTTCAATTCGGCACACTGGAGCTTTTGACACGATTTAAAAATCGGCAATACGCTTTCAATATCGACTCTCCCCCAGTAACGTCGATTTATATGGAGTGATTTAAGTTCAAATAGTTCTCCAAGGTCTGTTAAATTATCACATTTTATTTGGTACCAAATACTTAAGTTTGTTAACGATTTGATTTTCGATATTTCGCGGATGTCATCTGAACACAAATGTGACCATGCATGTAGTTCTTGTAAGTTTGACTTAAGAACAAAAGCCCGGAAAAGTTCACTAAGAGAACCTTTGGCAGCATTGATAGTTAATTTCTTTAGGCTTTGCATATTTGCCAAAATTTCTATGCCTGGCTCATCGCGAAATGAGCATTCTAAAGCTTCTAATTTTTTAAGTTCAACCAAATACTTGCATTCACCAACGCCAATATACAAATTTAAGTTCAGTTTCTGAAGAGTCAAAGGTAGTGAATGAAGGGTCAAATCATTCAATGTGTTAATGGCAACATTAGATTGACAATTATACAATTTGTTAATGGCTAGATATTCCAATTGTGAAAATTTATTTAATGTTGGCCCACATTCCGAACTAAAATATTCGACAAGCAATCTTTTTAGACATGTTAGTTCCTTAACTTCAGCCATTTGTGAGATGTCGAATTTGAACACGTGAAGCTGCTTAAGTTTAGTAGTTCTATTTGAAGAAAATGCGGAAAGAAGTTCTTGTACACAATGACTTTGTGAGTCCAAATATAATTCCTCAATGCTCGAGTTAGCTAGATCTATACAGGACTGTAAGTTGAGATTGGTGGGAGAAAGGCACATCAGTTTTTCCAGAGACCTTATTCTGGAAACGTGTACAACATATTTGGGATCGAAATTTTTACATGAAATTCTTCGAATTGTATTTTTTTCAGCCAGTTTTATAAAAAGAAAATCAAGAGATCCCTTAGCCGAAATGACCAATTCCTCGAGGTTATTCAGTTGACCCAATTTCTCAGTACCAGTTGTGTCTGACAAGGAGCATTTTAGTTTCTTAATGCTTTGAATTTCGGCCACTTTGGAAATATGTCTAAAACTGTATTTTTCTCCAAAAAGTTCTTGCACATCATATTCTAATTCAGATATATCCAATTCTTGAATTGTACACAAATTGCTGGTGACAAAGGCGTCAAGAAATGGGTTAAGGGATGCAGGATCCGATTCCCCGGAGATCTGCAGGGTGTTAACGCTAAGTTGAGCCAGGAAACTCAGCATATCAACCTGAAAATCTCTTTTCATTTTAATCTCAAGATTTTTTTCAACCTTGTTTATAGTAATGCTAAATCTGTTGCACATTATGGTAGCTTGCACCTGACATGTATTTAGAAGATCAAGTAGTATATTTGAGTCATAGGAATCAATAGAATCGCAAACATTGATAACCAGGTGTTGCAGGTTAGGCAATTGACTTAAAAATTTAATTGAGTTCCATTTCCAGACATGGCACCCCAGATACCGAATTGACTTTATTTTCGCAATTTCTATTGTCTCTAATTCATCTATTGGTCCGTAGTGCATTTTGCAGGATTTCAAAGAAAACGACCCTTTTGGGACCATTGATTGAAGGAATTTTGCCATTGATTCGGGATGATCTAAACCAGTACATTTATTAAGTACGACCAACCGACTGAGATTGGGCAGCTTTGATAATGGACCCAATTGACTAATGTCCGTAGACCAATGAAGCTTTAACTCCAGTTCTCCTTTATACCTGTCAAACTTTATTCTTAGTAGTTCCGTTACAGGTATGGTTATGAGAAAATCCTCTGTTAAACAGCTGCCTTCCGATATTTCACATAAATCAAATGCGATTTTATGATGATATTCATCATCAAAATATAAGAAATATATTTCCATATATCTTAATGAGTCAAGAGCAGCAAGAGTTATAGACCTATGTTTATTGCCTTTATGGAACAAAGAATCTTCGATGGTAAGTATTAATGGTCGTAGATTTCTAGGTCTGTGCAATTGGACAAAATTTTTAAAAAATTTCAATTCCGAACCGCTCTCATAGATTCCAGTAATAAAAAAGTTTTTTAAATTGGGCAAATGTGCTAGCGGTGCATATTGGGCAGCTCCGCCTTCCGTGTTAAACTTAATTTTTAGCTCCTCAAGATTTGCGCAATGCGGTGCGATAATGGAAAGATCTCCATCTATTTCAATGCGTTCGAAGGCCAACTTTCTCAAATTTGGGATAAAGATACAGATGTCAGCTAAGGCGTTTGCAGTAATACTACCGTCTAACTTTAACATTTCGAGGTTTGTAAGGTTCGATGACATGCCTTTAAAATATAGAAGTTTATTGATATACAAATTTATACTATTTTTAAACCCCGAGCCGGTTTGCAAATATAGTTTTTAATGTAAAAAAGTTGCCATAACTGACTTGACTTACCTCTTATAGTTATGTTTACACATACTTCATCCGTCTTATTTTTGTGGTGGTCAAAAAATAGTTCTACATTGAAAGCATTTCTCTCCCTAACAGATTCTAGATAGGGTTTCCAGAAACATTCACTTTGTTGGTTTGATAACTTATTGATGCGCAGATCTATCAGCAGCTTTATGATTCTGCAAACAAGGGCGAACTCCAGATCTTGGTACAAACGTTTGTGATGCACCGCAAGCAATTCCAGGATAAATTCATGGGACAGCACAAAGTTGATTAAATCATCATACCTTAAAGTACCCTTTTCGACATTTTGGTTTTTCAAGTTGCAATCAGAGATTACATAATTCATAATCTCCAAAAAACAATCGGAGTTGAGTATCAATTCGCCGTTATCGTCCATTTCGTAGAGTTATAAATTAATCACCAATGCCAAAATTCAGATTTTTGAGCCCAGCGGTTGCTAAATGAAAATGTAAAACGATTTTTATTTATAAGAAAAAATCGTATCATTTAAATGATAAACTTGGTAACATGTTAAAATAATAGAAATGTAGATAGGTATTGATTAATAGAATCAATACTAATTTACGCCAAAATAAACTTCAAAAATGTGGGTTGTAACGTTATGGGCTGATTTTTTAGAGTCACATTGCAAGCTGGTTACACATGGTCATGTGAGTTGTAAAGAATCACTGTCAATCGAGGTTAAATAATTCGCGGTTGTGCGGACTGGCCTGCAATCGTATCTTAAAATTATTATTGAAACTCAAAATCGTCGAAATGCCTACTTTGTTTGTATAGCAAAACGCGCCTTTTGGCTTTTGTACCTAAATTCTTAAGAAATCGAACACGCCCCTGGTCTAGAAACATTTTTTTTGCAAACTTGTGTTATTGATGTTTGCTACATAACCGTCTAATATAACACAAAAGTAATTCTTAACGAGGTAGGTAAGTTACCGTGACGATCGCACTTATTACATCCAAGATACAAATTTAATGATTGAAGGACCCACGATCGCGCCTGTTGATTTCTCAAACAGCTTTGTTAACTGTAAAATTTCTTGGCACCTAGAGTCCTGGACAATCTAATAAGTAGACGGTATTTACTCCTTAAAAGCTCCTTAAAGTAACTATGAACAGATTGTTCTATACGAAAAAGATACAATTAAGACCGGTTTTTGTTTGTTTACTTTTTGGAAAGGGTTCTCACGGATCTATCGATAAGCTCGCGGTTCTGAACTAGTTCTTACTCAAGGTGCCCACCTAATCGGTTTGAACAGCTGGCCAAAATACAATGTATCGATTGCTATCGTCTATCGATAACACACTAGCCAGCAGTCGTCGTAGTTCGTGTCGGGATTGTTTTTTAGTTTAATATTTATCAATTTTTAGACCGTTAAGTGCCCAATTGGTCAACTCCTCCAAATTGCAATAAATTCAGTAGATACACTTTTCACGGTTTTCACCGCCGTCGCGTTTCCTTGCCCCTCGAAAGCTAATTGAATTACCCACGCACACAGTCGCAACCAGAAGCAGCCCATCGCCTGCGTCATAAGCTATTTCCGTCGATAATAGATTCCAAAGATCCAGAGCATGGACCCCAAACAGCAGACGCCCCAGGAGGAGGTGGCCCCAGTGGCCCCGCTGCTGGAGGACCAGCTGGACCTGGACATGAAGCACTGCTTCGAGAACCTGATTGTCATCGACGTGGGTGCCAATTTGACCAACAAAAAGTATAGCCGTGATCTGGATTCCGTGGTGCAGAGAGCCAGAGACGCAGGTTCGTGCTGCAGATACTATATGCGCATTATTAATGGGACCCGGGCAGTGTCTTCGTTTTGGGGCGAGGCTGCGAAAACACCCCAGACAGCCAGAAGGTCAGGCGATAAGTGAGCAACAAGTGTGCTGTCTAGGCATATGTTTTGACATACTCTTGCAGAGGGTACTATGAATTAGGTGGGGAGTTGGAAAGTCTAGGAAAAGAGACTCCCCTTGCCTTTAATATGTTGATCACCTGTCCGTATGTCAGTTTAAGAGCTATTTATCTCTGCCCAAATTGGAACAGGTTTTGACGATCATATCGCATGCATAATATCCATAAGAACAACAATCCACTGAATCAATCTGAAGAAATGTTAATATACCTATTGTAACCCATTTTCGGTTAATGAGATATCAGGAATTCATTTTTAATAGTATGTATAAAAACCGAACTGAAAAGGGTACTTAGCAGTCGGCTAGCAGAAGTCAGCCTTTTCCCTTCTTTATGTTGCACAGTGCAAGGTGCACTAACTTTCTCCCGCCCATTCGTTTCAGGTGTTCAGAAACTCATGGTTCACGGCACTTCGGTCAAATCGAGCAAGGAAGCGCTGCGCCTTTCGCGCATCTATCCCGACATAATCTACTCAACTGCTGGCATTCATCCCCATGACTCCAAGTCCATCGTGGAGGAGCCGGCCACATGGTTCGACCTGGAGCACATCGCCCAGGCGCAGGAGTGCGTGGCGATCGGGCCCTGTGGCCTGGACTACCAGCGGGACTTCTCCGAACCGGATGCCCAGAAGCAGATCTTCGCCAAGCAGCTGCACCTGGCCATCCGGCTGAACAAACCTCTGCTGATCCACGAGCGGTCGGCTCAGCACGATCTACTCGAAATACTCGACAAGTACGAGCCGTAGACATGGTTTACAAAGCATCTAACGTGTTCCCCCTGCAGATTCGAGAATCTGCCGCCTGTGATCGTCAGAGGTTTTATGGGCACCGCCGAGGAGGCTCTGAAGTACCTAGAGCGCAGGTTCTACATCAGCCTGACGGGCTACCTGTGCAAGGACAAATCGGATACTGGCGTTCGCCGACTGCTGGAGGACGGCACTTTGCCGCTGGACAGACTGCTGGTGGAGACGGATGCTCCGTTCATGTACCCAAACACAAGGGCTTCCAAGCTGCCGCAACACGTGAAGACTGGCATCACCGAACGCTCTTTGTTGTACTTACACAGGTGGGAGGGATACAACATCCAATATAAGGTCGATTATCTATTGGTTTCAAGAATTTTCCAGATATTGTACCTTCCAACGCAACGAGCCCTGCAGTCTGCCCGCCATCGTAGAGATGATAGCCGCCTTCATGAAGAAAACCCCCGATGAAGTGGCCCTGGCCACCGCCTTCAATGCCCTTAAACTGTTCGGCTTGTCCTAGAAAACTAAACGGAGCCCAAAGGAACTGAACGACAAAGTGTGCCAACCAGCAGCTTTACAACCGTAACTCTATAGATTGAACGAGCCTGAGATTCACGATAGACTCATACCTATGTGCCTTAACCACTAATCGAATTCAGGATGAAGCGCTCATCCTGATCCCCACACATACACACACCCACAAATACGACCCCCATTGCATGCGAAAAGTACGTATACGTATAGACCTATATAATCAACCCCTTGCCGTAAAGGTGCAAACTATCGATCGAAGTTTGCAGGGTTTAGCTGTAAGTTGTTGGAATTTCCCGAGCAATTGCTTTATTTACTATTATTGAGAAACGGTGCCAAGGTGGTGCCGCGTGGACGTCGACTCCGAACTAGCTCTGGGTCGGTGCTTCACGCCTCGAAGCACGCGCTTCGAACTCGCTTCCGAAGCGAAAGATATAGATGTTAAGTGCTGCAGCTTGTCTTCTGTTTGTTTCTTCTGTCTTTAGGCTAGAATCATTAATTTTAGTTCGTGTCTCTGTTAGCCGTAGTCGTATTTTTGTAAATATTTATTCTTGTTGCGACGATGACGATGATGATGATGATGATTATGGGAAACGTAATGTGATCATTTTAAAAGCTAAATATTTATATGATATTCAACATACAAACACATTTGTTAGGCTATGAAACATATTGAATACCGTGCGCCTATACACACTATATTTTGTTATATTTACATATACAAAAGCGTTGTACTGAACTGATCGACCCGCGGAGGTTGCATAAAATCCGCTTTGTGCCCATTGTCCGCACACAGACACACTATTTTCCATTTGAATAAAGCGAATTTGAAACCCAAACGAACAAAAGGCCGCTTTGATACGTCATTACGTGTATTTTTGGTTGGTTAGCACACTTAAAAGCGCTGAATGTTGCTCAAGTCCTCGAACTGCTCCAGCTGATGCAAATTGTCCCACCAGAGCTTCAGGCGGTGCTGGAGTATCAGAGCGAACCAGGGTGTCAGCGGGGCACTGAACTTGGCCACCGCCTCGTCGATCTTGTCGCGCCTGAGGTAGCGCACCTCGCTAACCTCATTGCTGTTTGGCCGCAGGGTCACGTCCTTTTGCAGAAACAGGATGTAGTCGATCTCGTGCTCGCCCCACACTCCGTCGCCCGTGTCCGCGTAGTGGATGCGGGTCAGGTAGCGGAAGTCCTGCGGCTGTAGCTCCTCCGTGGGAATGCCCAGCTCGTAGTTAAGCCGCCGCTGGGCAGCCAGCCTAATCCCGAGGGCATCGCTCTCCTGGCGCTCCTGCTCGATCTCGTGGAGCGGATGGCTGCAGCAGGCGTTGGTGTAGGTGTTCGGGAAGGTTATCTATGGATGCAGCTGGTTTTAGACCACGTAAAGAGGGGATTTCCCTATGATTTCACCTTGTGAGACGATCGCTTCTGCACCAGCATCTCGCCCTGGGAGTTGAAGAGGAAAACGCTGAAGGCTCGGTGCAGTTTCACATCCTTCGTCTCTGGGTGCACCCGGTGGCAGTCCGCCTTGGAGGCTGCGCCGATAGCCTGGTCGTTGGCGTCCACCAGGATGCACTGCTCCTTGAGGGCTTGTGCCTGGAGGGGATCGTGCACGGCGGACTCCGTGGGCACCTGCCGGTGCTGCTGCCGGCCCACCGTCGTCGTGGAGCAGCCGCGCAGCCAGGACGCGCGGGGCAGCAGGAGACTTAAGCGCGACGCCAACATTTTTGGTAAATGACTAGTTTCGAAATGTTTCAAAACAAATATGAAAGTGAAACTTCGTAATGCAGCGCGGCGGGGCTGCCAACTCGCTTGCTTTAGCCCGGGGCAGCCCACCGCGAACAGCTGTTCCGGAAGAGAAGTGGCAGCCCTGGTCTTGGTGATACACAATTTGCTCATAATCAGTTTTTTCGCCCCCGAAATAAAATTAAATTGTAAATATCCGAGCAGCTGCCTGAGCAGACCCCTTAAAAATGGTGAGTATTACGGGGGATACCAGTTAATACCCCCTTTTAAATCCTTCCTTCCCCGAAGATTCGCTTCATACTCATACAAAACCGAGCTGGAAAGACTCGCCTGGCCAAGTGGTACATGAACTTCGATGACGACGAGAAACAGAAACTGATAGAGGAGGTGCATGCCGTGGTCACAGTGCGCGACGCCAAGCACACCAACTTCGTGGAGGTGGGTTCGAGTCTATCTGTCCTATTGGAACCCCCATCTAACCATTGTCCTCCCCCAGTTCCGCAATTTCAAGATCGTCTACCGACGCTATGCGGGCCTCTACTTCTGCATCTGCGTGGACGTGAACGACAACAATCTGTGCTATCTGGAGGCCATCCACAACTTCGTGGAGGTGCTGAACGAATACTTCCATAACGTGTGCGAGCTGGACCTGGTGTTCAACTTTTATAAGGTGTACAGCGTGGTGGACGAGATGTTCCTGGCGGGCGAAATCCGGGAGACCTCGCAGACGAAGGTGCTTAAGCAGCTGCTCACGCTCAACTCGCTGGAGTAGAGGTCCAACTCACAGCCCGGATCCGCCAGATGCATTCCCCCAGGCGTTATACCCGCTTATCGAATCTTCTTTCATATACTATTACGCGTATTATTATTATTATCTTTAATGTGTTCTCTATGCAAACACTCAAATGTTAAAGGCCGTGTTTAGAAACAAATGATGTACCATAAGAGATTGTATGCAAAAGCTACCCATCCATTCTTGTTTTATCTGGGGTGTCTTGGCTCGGGCCGGGGTCACAGAAGGCGATAACATTTTTCTCTGGTTCCGCCCACTCACCTCCGGTCGGCAGCCCTGGTCGGGGAAAGACATCGCGCGATCTGGTAACACTGCCAATGCCACTTCGTCATTTTTTCAGTCGCCATTGTTCTCGGAATTCTCGTCGAATTTGTGGAAATAAACGTATTTCCCATTTAAATTCGCTGCAATAAATACAAAAGCGAGTTGCAAGACACAACACGAACCGAGTGCGAGTCGTTTTCCAGTAATTCGGAGCGCGCCAGTCGAGTAAAAGCGGTCAAAACATCAGCCAGTCCAGGGCCAGAAATCGAATATTTGTTCGTGGCAAATATATAATCTGTGAAAAAGCCAGAAAATGTCATCTGTGAATCCGGAATAGTAAGTCGTCACACACCGTTATGCGCAGTAAAGTGGAGTTAAAGTACACGGTGACTGGTTTTCCACAAATCGGAATACACCTTCTCGCCCCTGGCCTTCGATAATAGTTTCTTTTATTTTTTTCTGCGACGTCATTTCTGCTACGTTTCATTCCATTCATCATCGAGCAGCCCCACTCCCTTCATTTCGCTGCCCTCGTTGGCAACTCCAAAAAACAGACGATTCGCTAAAAACAGAGAATAGATTGGGACATAACAACCGCCCCAAACCAGAAACCAGTATCAAAACTCTGTGTTTCAGCTGAGACTTGAAAGAAAATGCATACGCAGGGGCGGGGGGAGATAGGAAACGATGTTCGCCAGCGAAAATCGCGTTAATTGTTGCTCCCCGACTCGGAATCGGCCATTTATATAGTCAGATCCCAGTTGACGAGCCAAAGCGCAGGGCGGGCGGATGAGTCACCTGCGTGGAGAGCGTTTCCCACCCCCAGCGCAGTGCTACGTAATCAAAGGCCATTCCAGTTCCACATAATTGCTTTCTCTCACTTTAGGCCAATTAAATCTAAACCGATCTTGATTCGCACAGTCTAGAAACTATCCTTCTATATGTAGAAGATTGTAACATTATCACACATCGACCAGAAATTGGGGGTTGATGTGGGACATACCGCGATAAGATAAAGCCTATAGCAAACCGGTTCTATGCATATTTTACTCTCCGAACAGACTAAATCATGCCCTCCTTGAACTTTTTCAGATTTTGTGTATTGATCAGCCTTTAGTTTACTCAAAAATATCTTTTGAAAGATCCATCGCAACTATTTCCTCCCAAATTTGGGCTATCACCACTGAAATGTTGAACCTTGTATCTTGCTTATCTCTGTCTTAGATATAATATGATAAGCTTAATTGACCAATTATTACCTTCTCCCCAGTGACTATCTCTTCAAACTGCTGCTCATTGGAGACTCGGGCGTTGGAAAGTCCTGTCTTCTGCTGCGATTTGCCGATGACACATATACAGAGAGCTATATCAGCACGATCGGAGTAGATTTCGTAAGCCAGCCAGAACGTAGTGAATATTCTTTGTGCCTGACTCATTAACTCTTTGTCTTGCAGAAAATCAGGACCATAGAACTCGACGGAAAGACCATTAAACTGCAAATTGTAAGCATAGCATAGCATGGCGGAGGTAATTCAGTCCAGTGCTAATTCGACTCTTTACAGTGGGATACTGCTGGCCAGGAGCGCTTCCGCACCATTACGTCGTCATATTATAGAGGCGCCCATGGCATCATCGTCGTTTACGATTGCACGGACCAGGAGTCCTTCAACAATGTGAAGCAGTGGCTGGAGGAGATCGAGCGGTACGCCTGCGAGAATGTCAACAAGTTGCTGGTGGGCAACAAGAGCGACTTGACCACCAAGAAGGTCGTCGATCACACCACAGCTGCGGTGCGTATATTGCTGGGTTTATCCGGGAAATCATAGGTATATACTGAACTGGCTCTTTGTTTCCGAATCCGCAGGAGTACGCCGCCCAGTTAGGCATTCCATTCCTTGAAACTTCGGCCAAGAGCGCCACCAACGTGGAGCAGGCCTTCATGACGATGGCGGCCGAGATCAAGAATCGCGTCGGGCCGCCGTCCAGCGCCACCGACAACGCAAGCAAAGTGAAAATCGATCAAGGACGTCCAGTGGAAAACACCAAATCCGGTTGCTGCTGAATAACTCTGATTGTGAATCATTATTTTATTATACAATTAAACAAAATTTAAATATAATAAATTAAAACGGAAACCACACAATAATAATAAAAAAGATGCGAAAACGATGGCGGATCCACGAAATCGTAATTATAAAAACTAATTCTGTAATAACAATAATGATGAGGAATGACGAGTAGTGCGTTTGTATGATCCTAGCCGTGATCCAATTCGATACACACTTTAAGCAAATATGTATTAGGTATGTAGCCAACCAGATCCAGACTTCAGACATCCCCCCACGCATACACACAACCAGGACATCAATCCTGATACTAACCGTCTTTCTGATTTCAGCAGTTCTGTTCTTAAGTAGTGCAAAGCAAGCAAATTCGGTGTAGCAATTAACTTAATATAACTCTAACCTACAGTAAGAAGTTACCTATCACAACAGCAGCGCGAAACGATACCGAAACCAATATGTACTATTAACTAAACTATAATTGAGCAAAGGCGACGGCAAGAGCAATTATACTTGTACTGTGTCAGCTACTACTTACCACTATGTATACATATGTATGTGTTTAAATTACAAATACAATTTTCTAAACATATTATCTCTAGCGAACGTGCTCGCCACTTGTCTCTGTCATATTGAAATTTTATGTAAATCGAAAGGAACCCAAAACCGAACGAACATTTTTAGAATTAACATCGAGCGATTGTGTGTTTGTATTTTCGTGTGACGCAAGGGATTTGTTTAGGCACATAATTAGTGTAATATCGACGACATAGCAATGAAGTTTAATAAAAATTATTGCGTGAGCGTATCTAAATTGAAAGGTTTGGGATCAAGGACACATGTATACACATTAGTTTCGGTTTTCACTGTCGCCCGAATTTGAATCTTAATTTTGCTTAAGTCTAATAAAATCAATCTGTACCAATGCCTATAAGAGATTTGTTTTATTCCGCGATTTTGGACAGATTCCAAAGACCTAAGTGAAGGCCGGAACGAACCCGCACACACCTAAACACACTTGGCATACACTTAAAGTAGGGTGGGCTGTTTTGTGCTGCTGAAATTTGTTTTTGACTCGTTCTGATATAAAAGATTCGAGAAGCATTTAATCTAGAAAGAACGATAGAAATAAGTTTAAACGAGATATTACATTTTCTTAGTAATATTTACTTAATTTATACATAAACAGAGCATTCGAAGTCGTCAGAATCTGGACCCTTAATTTTTGTATAAATAGGAGACGTTCAAGTATCCCGGATCAATGATTTTAACCTGCAAGACCATTTTTAAGGTCGCTCGTGTGCGTCATTGTCATAATTACATGATGTCTTGAAATACTATTTTTTTAATAACAGTTAGTTGCTTCTGGAGTGTTGGATCTCTTATAAGTTTTAAAATGGTGTCGACATCACTTAAAAAGTTTAAAGCCACTGCTCCTCCTTCGCCAAATTTCAATTTAACGTCACATATCTTATCTGGATTTATTCTTTTCAGCTTAAATTAATGACCAAGGTCTTTCCTGCAGGAAAAATTGCCCTTTAACGACTTAGTTTGCGGTATTTCTCGGATTTCTTTATAGCAAATAGTTGGAGTATCTAGTCTTCTTAAACTTGATAAGAAAAAAATATCGGTGGGAAATAGTTTTTATCCGATGCTTCAACTTTAAATTTTTAGATCATACAAGGAAAGTGTATTAATGATGTGAGAAAACTTGACATCTAACTCTTTCAGTTATCTTATTTTGGGAATCCTTTTAAACCCTTAAAGGTAAAAGTCGATCATTAGAAATTTTAAACACTGAATGACATTCTTCGCCACCAGTTTTATAAAAAGTAATGATAAGGTTCCTTGTCTACGCGTAGTTATATTCAACTCGTATAGTTTGTTTAAATTGCCTACTTTTCGATTTCTGACACGTTTGAGAATAGTTTCTCAGATTCTATTTATTTTGCTAATGGCAAAAGCTTTAAAAAGTGACTGCGGTTTTATTATTAGGGTTCCCTGAAATCTGGAGCTCTTTGGCAAGGGGGCCCAGAATATTGGGATTAAGCCAAAAACTTAAATCCAACTTTAGGGGTTTTTGAACCTTCCTAAAGTTAATACGAAATTGGTCGCTATTTATTTTTCCCTAAGTTTTTGCACGTAAAATTCATGGGCGAGCACAAAGTTTATTAATCCATCATACATCGAAGGGTCTCTTTGCCAATTTATCTTGCAATCACTTTTTGTATAGTTCATTATATTCCAGAGACATTCATAATTAATTAAGTGGTAATTTTCGTCCATATTCTATACCGATGCAAAAGCTATGCAAAGTATCGCTATGAAAATTTAAAAAAAAAACACAATAATGTTGATATTGTATCCGGACGAAATCAAATTGCTCACATTTGTATTTATGAAAATGTTGTGCTGAGATTCTTAAATTTATAAACCTTTATTCAAATATATATATACAAATCTGCCAGTTTAATAGGATTCGAAACTAGATTTTTTACTATTGCCCAAGTGTTTGCTTGTTATACCCGTTACTCGTAGAGTTTTTATGCTAGGAATATATTTTTAACTGAAAATTGTAGCTTTATAGAGAGAAAAGTGTGATGATAAATTTTACGGTGTTGTTGTCAGGGTTTCTTACAGTTCCAACAGAATAAGACCGAAATCAAACTTTATAAACTTTGTTACAAATAACTTTAGAGCTCACAGCGTTACCCTTTAGTGTACTATTAAACGCTTACCTTTTCTACGCTTCTTAAATTTAAATACGAGCTCCCTTGTAATGGTTTCAAAAACATCTTCTCTAGCGTTTATTGACTTCATCTGAGGTACTTCAGTCTTTACAACAAAATTTCATCTAATACTATGACTATTTGATGCTGGAATTTAACTAAATACTTGAACGGTTGCTGGCAGTGGGGGATTTGGGGGACTCGGAGGGTTCGGAGGATGGGCTTCAGATCTTGCTGGCTCGGCGCTCCTGCAGGCAGGCCGTGGTAACGGTGGCAGCCGTTGTCCCAATGATGGCGGCTCCCAGGATGCCCCGTTCGCGTTCGCTCAGGCCGGAAATGGACAGGCTGTTGCTGCGCCACGCGGACGAGGAGGTTGTGCGATCCGTGCCCGAGGACGTGGACATGGAGTTGATCAGGAAGGTGGCCTCGCGGCGGAGGGTGCGACGAGGATGCCGGGCCGTGGCCGATCCCGCCAGCGTGGCTCCCTCCTCTGCGTCCTGTTCCTGTCGCCGGGACGCAGTGCGTCCACTTCCGCCCGCCGCCGGATGCTGCCTCTGGTGGTAGTGGTGGCGATGATGGTGATGCGGCCGCTGGCCCAGGCAGGTGAGCAGCAGCCGCCAGAAGCCGCTGCGGAACTTGGAGGACATCAGGTTGTACAGGATTGGGTTCATGGCCGAGTTCAGGTAGAGCATAAAGCGCGAGAAGTACAACAGATTGTAGTAACCGGCGATGCCCAGGCTCTGCACATCTTCGGCGCTGGCCAGGATCACCCACAGGGTGAAGGCTCGGAAGGGCAGCAGACAGACAAAGAAGCTGGACACGACGGCCACAAGCATGAAGATGACCTGCTTGCGGTGCTTCCTCATCCCGTTGCTCTGCTGGTGGCTGCTGCCCTTGGAGCTGGGCACCTGGGAGGAGCCAGTGCCTCCACCCGCCGGCTGCTGGGGCTGCGGGGAGGTGGGTCGATGGAAGGCGTTGTTCGGGCGCAGCAGCTTGTAGGCAATGGCCGCGTACAGGAGCAACAGGATGCCGAAGGGCAGGAAGAAGAACACCGTGATGCTGCCCACGAAGTAGAGGATTGGCCAGAAGCCGTCGGCGGCGGTGGTGCAGACGGGGGCGTCGGTTCCGTCGCCATAGGGCTCCACGCTGTAGCTGGATATGGCGATGATGGGACTGCAAGAATCATATTACTCGTATTAGTTTGAAACAAAGGGAATGGCCGTGTCTGCAGGGTCTGCAAAGTTTAAACGCGCTGCGAGCAGGAAACAAACAAATATTTAAAAGCTACTCAACGGCTAACTACTGGAAAAGTTTCGGGGGCGAAGCACTCAACTTAATCACACAGCGGAAACGGAAACGGCAACGGCAACGTCTGCTCATACTCATACTCATCATACTCGTAGGATGGTGTGGGTTCTAGCTACTTATTACTGTACAAAAACGAACGAAATCTACGTCATGGGGCTACGAAAACAAATTATAAAGCTATATTTACAGAGGTCGGGGGCGTTGGACCGATTTCCTTATAACTATGTGAATTACACTGCTGCTCGCAGAAGGATAATGTTGAAAAAAGCCGATTCCTTTGACCCGTCATGAGATGTCATAAAAAATTTATTTACTTACAAACTCTTTGCTCTTCTCGAGTGTGTGTGTGCGTGTGTGCGGACGTGTGTTTTCTTGTATTTATAAGCAGAGTACGTATTTGTATAGGTATAAATATGTTTGTATAAATATAAATATTAATATAGGGCTAAGTGTGTGTGTGGTGTATGTACAGCTGTGTTTACATGTGAACATTGTGTGCATGTTGAGCTAAGCTTTTTATTTGAGCCGCCGCCAAGTAGGCAACAGTTTTTTCGGACATCCGGTGTAATGGCGGCCATTTTGTCCGGTTTCCTTGGTCCGGCTTACGGAACTATTTCAATACACCTAAATCATGTTTATCCGCCGCCTCGATGGGTTACCCAAACGCATATTAAGCCATTTCCATTTCCCAGTCCTCCTCGCACGCCCGCCGCTTAATGGCTCACCCAATCCATGTCGATGTCCATGTCCACAGCTACATCCACATCACGACTCCAAACTCTGACCAGTAGTGGTAGTTGTAGTGCTGTTGGGCTGCCGTTGCTGTTATTTATCTTTGGCACATTCATTCGAGTTTAATAGCCCGAAAAATTGATTGTTTTTTGTACGGAAATGTCCAAGGCGAAGGCCCAACTTCGAATCGGGAGCTGTCAACGGCTGACTGAAATCGATTATGCCTGCCAAAGGCGTTCAGGATGCGATTTGTGTGCTGCCAGGAATCAGGATCAGCATTCCAGCCAAGTGAAGCGAGTGTGTAAACGGGTTACAGGCGATTTTTCATGCCGGGGGGTGATTATAGTGCCCCGCCTCCTCGGGCAGATTAACTATTCCTTCGATTCTAGGGAGAACTTCCCTACATTTTTTCAGAAATTGCCCTTCATTTAGTTCGTTGCCCTGCAAAGCCTCCTCATCAAAACTTATTTGCGGCTTCTGGCGACGCGGATGCTTGTTCCCCATCGCCATGAGCCGGCTATCACTCACTCTCCTGGCCATTCCCCTGCCCAAAGTGGAGTGCTGCAGCATGGCCATGGCCTCCAGATCACTGCCACACGGCATCTGCATCTCGATCTTCAGGCGGGTGCGACTGATGTCCTCGCTGCACCTGCGATTGGAGCTCCGCGACAGGATGCTGGAGTTCGTGGCTGCCGTGGCATTCGAGGAGTTGGTATTCGTGTTCGTGTTGGTACCCATGCCCAGGGACAGGGTGCCACTGCGACCCCGCGAAGCGTTCTCCTTCCGCCTGCCCAGGGTCACCAGGTCGAGCAGTAATGCCCCCGCATCCTGGCAGAGCCGCTTGAAACCCCTTCGGAACTTCGTCGACATCAGGTTGTAGAGGATTGGATTCATGGCCGAGTTGAGGTACAGCATGATCCGGCAGAAGTAAAGCAGGCTGTAGTAGCGCACCAGGCCCAGATCGTGGAGCGTCTGGTCCGTGCTGAGGATGATCCACAGGGTGAGCACGCGAAAGGGCAGCAGGCAGACGAAGAAGGACAGGACGACGGCGCCGAGCATCAGGACCACCTGCTTGCGGGCCTTCAGACTGAGTTCCGGCTTCGTGGGACGGGCGCGCAGCATGGCCGCCCGGTTGGAGACCAGGTTCCTGGCGATGATGCCGTACAGCACCACCAGGGTCACGAACGGCACCACGAAGAACACGGAGATGGTCATCAGGAAGAAGGCCAGCGTCCAGTCGGTGATGGCCTGGGTCAGGCACACGGCCACCGACGATCCATCAATGTACTCGGCCAGCTTGTACTCGGCCACCCACAGGATGGGGCTGCTCGGGCGGGGGATTCGCAGTTGGGGGAGAGAAAGCAAACGAGAAACGTAATCAGGTGGCGGGGTCACCGGGGGAGTGGATAATGGATAATGGATACGAGTGGAGTGGATAGTTGGGAAAAAGGCCCAAAGGGGCAGAAAGGAAGAGAAGGCAGTAGGAGAGGCAGTTGTTGATGACGATGATCCAATGACGATGAACGGAAGGTTAACCAATTCTGGGATAAAGTTCAGGTCTCTAATGAACCCGTCTGGCCTGGAACCGATTTTCAAGACCTGATTGCGTTTATGGGTTTTTTATTTCTTCGGGTCAGTCGTGTAAATTAAACTCATAGCGGAGATTACAGATTACCTGTAGATTTCAAAGACTTTTTTTTACCAATAGCTAGAAACATAAAAAACTTATATACTACATACTTTAAAGAGTAAAATAATGGTTTATTTGAATTTGAATAAATAGTATCCAAATATGTATTAGGATTATAACATTTTAAATGATTAATCATATAGTGATTTAAATAAAAACAGATTTTTAAATTACAATTAAACATTGAAAACTACCACAAAACACAATCAAATAAACTCTAACATATTCAATTTATCATCGATCTGATTACACTTTTTACATAGAGATTACTAAGCAGATGGTAGGATATACATTTTCTTTTGACTTTGTAAATATTTCCAGCAAACAAACCAGTTTAAGGTTCGTTTATGTGGAGTAACCCGAAACGCAGATTAAACAGTTCCCCTGCTCCCAAAATCCTCCCGGCTAGACCGAAAGATATGACAGTCAACAGGCGGTGGCTGAAATTTTTCTGACGATGATCCGGGCGTTTTGGACGTGCGTCAGCGATTTGCCCCGCCCTCCTTTTTCTTCATAGCTACGCCCATGGGCGTCGTGTGGCCCGTCGGTTTGGATGGGTTTTTAAAATGTTTGCCGGCCTTGGGCTTCTTGTGTAGCGTAATTAATGGGTCTCGGCCTGGAGGCGGGTGTCCTGCGGACCCGAGTCCAACCATGACCCAACCCACCACCCCTGCTGAATTCTCCCACCGAGGGGTCAGTGGCCGGCTCGACAATGTGCTGTTTATTTCATTGTTATGGACGCGGCAAGATTTGCAAAATTAAAAAGGGTCGCCGGTCGTCTTTGGACGCAGCGCACAATAATAAAGTGTCAATGAAATGAAATCCATGATAGCGGACATCGGTGCTTATTAAAGATGACAGGGCGCTGATAACGAACAAAAGCCGTCCGGAACTTGAGGCCAAGGATGTCAGTGGGCACGATGATGATGATATGAGGGCGGGGATGGGGGCAGGAGGAGAAATAGCGGGAATGGAAATAGAATAGATAGAGCGACAGTCGCAGTTTAGCATGTAAATGGCACACAAAAGGCCAAACACCAAGACCAGAAATTCCCCAAATATAATGGAAAATAAACAAAATGGAAAAAATGCGGAGAACCCAAAAACAAAACACAAATCATTAAAATGACGGCGATTGACACTTATAATTAATGAGCGGGCAAAATGAATAAATGGAAGTAGGACATAAACTAGATCTAACCAGGATAATACCATATAATACCATACAGGACTACCAACACCAGAAAGCATGCAATGAAGCAACCGAACTAAGAACGATATACGAAACAATAACGCTAATGTCTAATTAAATTTGAGAAAAAAGGAGCTGGAATCGGTGGGTGGGTTCAGTGCACCATTCCCAGATGGGAGTGGGAACCGAACCGCTTACCTCGTAAAGAGCGCAGCTATGCCCCAGGCCAGGACGCAGATGAGGATGGCCCGCCCCTTGGTGCAGACGTAGCCGGCCTTTAATGGCTCGCAGATTGCGTAATAGCGCTCGAACGAGATGGCCAAGATGGTCAGCACGCTGGCATGGGCCACAGTCAGCTCCACGAACGGCACCGCCTTGCCTGGGGAGAAAGCAGTTAATTAGGCTGGGGAAAATAAACAGACCGGCAGACAGGCAGGAGCGGATCCACTCACACATCTCGTGCCCCAGGACCCAGGTCTCCGGGCGGGTGTTGACCTCCACGAGGACGGTGGGCGTGCAGACGAGCAGCACCAGCAGGTCGGCGATGCTCAGGTTGGTGAGGAAGATGTTCGTCGAGTTGCGCATATCCTTCGTCTTCACAATCACGATGGGCACCTGCGGAGGATTAAAGGTGAGTTACCGAAATTTGACAGCCTCGAGGAGCTCTTCACTCATACAATCCGGGGATTTACGCGCCAGCACCTGATGCTATTCGCTCAAAGTAAGCACATTTCTTGTAACTCTTAAAGATTTTAATTGAATACATTTCGTTTACCACAAAAATGCTTAGGCAAGTGCTGGTTGACTGTTTCTATGTAGACTTTAAGCTTAGTGTTAAGTTGTAAGAACCAAAATAAGGAAATGATCCATTATCATAAAGAAAAATAAATAAAAACTGAATAAAATTCTTATATTTCAACAATTTTTTAAAGGACTTTTAATTACTTGGGTTTATCCATTATGTATATGTATACATCCATCAGGGAAACTCGAATTTGAAATCAAATTGTAAGGCGAATTTAGATATTCTGCTAAAATCTATATATGCATTCCAGTTTTAGATACAAGTTGTAAAAAAAGGTAGTTTATTAATGGATTATTTACTTTAAAAAAGTTAAAAATTGTAAAAAAATTGTATTGGATTTAAAAAAAATATATATTTTCTTTATTTTCCATTACAGATCTTAATTGTAAAAGTCTAAAAATATTTTAAGAATAAATTTTTCAAATAATAAAAAGTTAGCTTGATATAAAAAGGGTGAACCACCCTGCCCGCCCTCGGGGCTATTTCCAAGTGAATTAATTTCAATTATAAATGCCTTTGCCTATAATTCTTCATAGAAGGGGAGGACTTACCATCACGTTGCCCACCACGCCCAGCAGCATGATGACTATGCAGAAGAACATGGCGGTTGTGCGGATATACGACGGAATCTGTGGCAGCATCTGCTCAGCATCGTCCTTGGAAGTGGTTGTTCCTGTTTCGACGGTTGTTTCTGTGGCTTCTGCATCAGATGTGGCTGCTGTTGCTGCGGTGGAGTTGTCCTGGCGGTCAAGTCCTGCGGCTGGAATACGATGAGTTGCGTGGTGTGGGCCATGGCCGCCACCAGGAGCGCCACGGGGTAGCCCAGCCTGCTGTGCCGACGTGGTTGCTCCTGCTGCGGGAAGGGCATCGTGGGCCTGGAGCAGGACGGCGGGCAGGAGCAGAAGCAGGAGCAGGAGCTGGAGCCACGGGCAGATCCTCGGGCCTACGCCAATGCTGGTCAGCCGTGGAAGCTGCCCAATCCTGGCCACAGCGACGCCGTGGCTGCCGCTGAGCAATGTCGCTGTCCTCGTCGTCCTGCGGCACTCGGAGAGTATGTCACGCAATGGGAATCACAGGGACAACAGCATCGTGGACTCGGATGGAGTGGATGGAGTGCCGCCACCGCCCGCTGTTCAATTAAGTGGGTTACGGCCAAGGGGCTGTCCTGCCCAAATCCGTTGTAATTGCCGCCCGGCAAGTTTATGCCCTCACTTAAATACGCGCTAATGAAATTAAGTTGTCCAACGGCTTCTCGAATACTCTTCTATCGCCTGGATGCGGCCGCATTAAACAAATCAATCAGTGGGGCTTTGCGGTTGTCCTCTGCGGCCTCAAGTGGCTGAAACGGCGAATGGCAATGGGATTAGCGTTAAGTGTCCTGCCCAGGATCAGGAAATAACCGGCCATTGACCAGGCCGGCTAACTAACGATAATGAATGAAAAGTTCATTAGGCGCTGTCATTTACATAACATTAGAGCATCCGGCCCCCGGATCCTCCCACCGCCATAAACAAGCTCATCACCGGGCACTCTGGACTCTTGACCAAATGGCACTGGACCGAAACCAAGGAAACAGGGGTATGGGCAGGGGTTTATTGTGACAGCAGGGTGCTTCTTGAGCTCCTCACCTAGCTTAGATTATAATATAAGAGCATTAGATTAAGCCAGTATTTGTTTATTATTTTATTTTAATAAAGCCACATATGAATATTTTTTAGAAAGGTAGACGGTTTTCTAGTTAATGAAATAAGCTGTCTAATTTATTCTCGTAAGAAAACCTAAATGGGGGGAATAAAAGTTTCAGTTCTCAATTAAACTGGTTTGTCACTGATCCAAAAACCCTCAAATAATTAATTGCCACACCAAGTTAAACTCCAACAAATGTGAGTAAGCTTGCGAGATAAAGCATACATACGTTATATAACGATTCTTAAACAGTTCACAAATTTACCAAAGCCTTTCTATAGTAATCATAAAAGTAGAAGTTAAGAAATAAAACAAAAAAGTCATACTACCATAACAATTTGAGCGCAATTTTAAGAACTTGTCTTAGACTGAGAGGTCCTTACTTAAATGGCAATAACCATATTTTAATACATAGTTCAACAAAAGTAGTCAGCTTTATGTTGATCCCCAAACTCCGCTCCTGTCTCGGATGTTTGCTTCCAATCTCGGGTGACAGGGTCGCCCGGCAGACGGCGATTATCGCCGATGGCGTCTGCTGCCCATCCCCATCCCCAACCCATCCCTATTTCCATTTCCATCCTCATCAGCCCAACGATGGCTGTTGTCAGCCAAATGGCTTTATTAAATCCCCATCTTTGCGGCGCGCAACTCGCTTAATTATATTATGCTCATACAGAGCCACGAACACTCATGCGAGGAGGTGGACAGGGATATATCCACGGACCCATGGACACTTGGACGTATAAACACAAGCTTCCGGTGTTTGTTTGCTATCGAGGGGGTGGTACAAGGGTGCATCTAGATATAGGGTCACCCTGGGCAGCGCCATTTTGATTAATTTGATAAATTCATTATGCGCACACCATATTGGCCAGATCCTGGGGCCTGTTCCTGTCCGGAAGCCTTTGCCTGTGAGTCTGTCTCTTGTCCTTTTTTCCTGGCCAAGCTGTGCTCTCTGTTTGCTGTGGCCCCGGATTTGGGAAGGAGTTGTGGGTTCAATGTGCCCGAATGACATAACAAGGCAGTTTGTGTCACATTTGGCTTAAAAATGCGACTTTAACGATGCTGAGCGAGGATTATCCCAGGAGTCGAGGGCTGGGTTCTGTTCTCTATTGGCCATTTTGTTGGGCGTAATTGCTTCGAAAGTTTCGAGTTGGTCATGTAGAAAGACAAATGAATCGTTTCAAACTTTCGGCTGAGAGCTGTGGCCATCAATATGGCCCACTATGTCGGACAACAGGACAACACCAGAAACCAACAACACATAAATATAGGTTTGTATATGTGTAACCAACAACTGCTGCCACAAACATGCGAGGCCTGCATGTAAATCTGAAAACGGTTTATGGTTTCGGCCGAAATCCCAAGTTCTCGAGTGCCGAGCGGCCATTTGATGGATAACTTGTGGCCTGTCAGTGGGCGTGTGCCAAAATACAGAAGTTACAAAGGCACACGGAAGAAAATAACGATTCCATCAGGGTGCCTAAAAGTAGGCAATGAAATATCGAATTCAAAAGGGAAAACCGAAACATGTATTTTCAAAGAACCATTTTAGTTTTATGAACCAAATAGAGATTTATGTTAGATATATTTTTGAATATTAATTGTACTAACTAACTACTTACACAAAATCTAACTTATGGGTTATATGGTTTTTTTTAACACCTAGATGGTTTGCTTAGATAGATGAGTCTTAAATGTTGTGGTAAAATTATGTGGGTTCTTGAGAATTTTTTAAAGCTTATAATAAGTTAAGTAAAGTGAGATTGAAAAAGGATACTTATAAGAACCGATCACTTAAATATTTGTAGTTAAATATTTCTGAATAAAATGTAGTAAAGAAAAGTCTGTAAAAGACTTCAAATATATTAATGAAAATCGTGTATAGAACATTCCGCAGAATTTCTGGGCAATTGAAGTGCAAAGGATTAACTTTTAAGATTAATGACATATTTGGAAGGCTTTAACCTCACCACCGCAGAAAGTGCACAAATGGACATTTACTTGAAGTTGATATAATGGTGTTTCTTTGTGTGTACACAATTTTCGTATAATTTTTCGGCTGAGATTTGAATAAGGTTGAGTAAGGAGCGGCTGGCGATAATGGAAATGGAGCGAATTGGCCTGCATCCAGGATGTGTGAGTGTGTGCGGGGTGCCGAGTGGATTTACTTGTTCAAGGACTCCTATGCACGCGTGTGTGAGTGTGTGATCCAGCGCAGCGCTTTTTATGGTATTTAAGATTGAACGGAATTTATTGCTGACACCCTAATAAAATTAACATTGAAATGGCAATTTGAGGCGGCAATAAGAATCAGCAGCAGAAGTAGCGCATCAGTATCGAAATCCCAGGCGGGAAAGTCGGAGCAAGTTGTCACACCCCCAGAACACACGCATATCTAATCAATTTATCGTTCAATAATAGTCAAGCCAGTGGATATATGGGATGGTTATGGGCCGATGTGCCTTAGCAGCCACTTTGACAAATCGCTAAGCGTGAAAAAGGCGAACGAGTGGGTGGCGAAAAAATTAAAGCCCAGCCGTCAAAGTGATTTCGAACATTCTGGCAGAGTTTCCCAGCTCCATCAGCTGCTCAAATATCCCGAGGAACGCGGTCTAAAGCACATTTATATTCCCCTCAAGCCAACCGCATCCTGTGGCCATGGATCTGCTCCTATTTTTCTCGCCGAGGGTGTCGTACGCTAAATAAATTGAAATGACTTCGTAATTGTATTTGTGACTCTGGCCAAATTAATCCAACTAGTTCGCATGCCGGATCAGCGCTCGTGTGGAACCGATGGCAGGAGGAAAAACAACATCAGGGCGAACAAAGCGCCGTAAAACCAAAAGCTTGTTTTTCAATTGAACCCACCCAATCCACCGAATCCCAGAGCCAAAGTGGCCAAAGTGGCTGTTTCGGCCAACAGAGTTGGTGGGGTGGCAAATTGCCTTTGCTTTCGGTGCTGTGTGAAAACCCTCGAAATCCAAATTGACATGTCGATGGTCATGTCCCACAGTCATGTCCTTTAATTGACCATTGAATGGCAATTAAGGCAGAAGCTATTTTTGGGGACGCTAGTTCGAGTGCATTAGCCTCGGCTCCCTTTCCCCGAATTAGCCACATTAGTGCGGGCTAAGGCTTCTGAAATATGTTGGGGTTATTATAGGGTTGAAAAGAACACCAATATTTATACACAACAAAAAATATGTCAGTACAGTCCTACCAATAATGTAAAATAAACTATATTTTAAAATCTTTTAAATAGTTTTGGGTACTTTTCATCTTAAAAGGCAATCGGAATACTGTTAAATTGTTAAAAAAATAAAAATCTAGAAAAATATTATATGTAATCCACAGAAAAACTTATTAAAAGTGTTATGAATTGTTTTTCATTTAGTTGCTTATGTTGTTGAACTTAACATAATTATCAGAAAAAAATCTTACGAGCTTTATCATATATCATTATCATATCATCATTTTATTTTGTTATAATTTGATGGATATTTTATTTAAATTTCTTGATGATTTACTAAGAATACTCTTTCCTTAACATTGATTTTTCATTCCGTAAATAGCTGCAGAGGCATCTTGGCGAGTCAAGAATTTAAATTGAAACGGCTGAGTGATGGGGCTCGCTATTTCGAATTACAGTTTCATGCCCCGGATTCCAAAGGAGGCCAGTTCCTATGCGAGTTTTTAGCCGTCGTTTGGCTCCAATAATTCCTTGTGGCGTTACTGCAAGGAGTCAAGGATGTTGGCCCTGCCATCCAGCTTTAACTCCTTTGCCCGTCCTGTCCGATATCACTTATTTATGCGAGTGCGACGAGCAGCTCGGCTTTTGCCTCTAACTGGATTCTGTGCATTGGATACTGGTTACTGAGCTGCCACCGTTTCTCTGTCTGACTGTCAGTCCGTTTTGTTTTGTTTTGTTTGTTTGTTTGCCCGCAATAAGAAAAGGCAACGGTCGCGGGCTAAACGTTCAAACAATGGCAAGAGAACTGGGCTTACAGCGATGCTCCAAAGAATAATACCAATATCCCGCTACGATTGGAAAAATAAGGAACCTAACAACAATTTTTTAAAAATTAAAAGTCATGTACACCCTTAATAATTGAGAACGGAAAAAAGGCTAGGTCAGGTTATCTCACTTTTTCAAGAAGATACGTTCTTGAAAGAGGTCTCAATTTAGTATTTTGAAACGAAAGTGTTCTTGCAAAACGGCCACACTGATCTTGGCTCACTTTTAAGTTCGATGGAACTCTTTTGAAAGCGGTTTTTTGCGATT